TCTATACTTGACAGATAATATCTTTATTTGTTACACGAACAATAAGTCGATATTTAGGTGTATTGTATTTATTTTTATCTTGATGAATAAGTGCGTGACGTGCATAAAAATCAGTTTTACCCTCTAAAAATTTAAATATAAACTTTAACAAATAAGAAAAAACAACAACAACAAATACTTACGTCGACGTCGTTTAGATTTTACTTGATATCTTTTGAAGTAAGCTTTGTTTTTAACGACTTTAACAAAAGCCTAAAAAGAATTTAAAATATTTAAATTAATTAAAAATTAAAGAAGAAAAATATCACCATTGTAAATTTAGATGGACGATCGCTGGTAAATTTGATAAGCAAAAGAAACAAACAAACAATCCGTGGAAGTCTACCCCCGTTTGGCGACCTCCACGAAGATGTTACTAAACATAACTAAACTAACCAATCATAATTGTTTAAACGACTAATGCATTTTCGAAAAAAAAAGAAGGACAGTAAATAACGTTAGATTGGTCTTCGTTTTACTAGAACATTAATTGTCAACGTATCGCTGATGACGTCCGGTAAATTAAAAGAAAATCTCAATTAATTTCGTAAAAAAACACTACTATGTATTTAAATTAGATACTGAAACAATCAGTCATCTACAATGGCGTATACAACGCTTAGAAGATTTTATTGGAAAATCAAATAAAACAAAAGTATATTAAATATATTTATGAATAGTTATTTTGAATTTAATGAAAAATTTAGATTGTTGAGACAATTAATAAATTAAATGAACAGGTTTTCGAACATGCAAATAATAGTCTTACTGCAAGAAAATTAGTGAAGAGAGGTAAAGATTTATTAATTAGAAACTGAATTTTAACTTTCTCTTTTATTTATAGTTGACGAAATCAATCGTCTAACAAATTCAAATTTCCAACATTATCTCATGGAAAATCGATCAACAAAACTTGAACTTATTCTTGCTGGTAAAGATAGCTCCTTCGATTTCACTTTTCTTACATATAAATCATTTCATAGATGAACAACGTATACGTAATGTAACAAAAAATCTTACTAAAATCGATACATTAGCACAAGTTTTGAATGGAGAATGTTTTCAAGGTATATAAAATTATTTAAACATATCATATGAATTGATTTTTATTAGAAGTACCAAAATTATTTTCAGCATTGAATAAATTATTAATCACACATGATAATATTAAGGTTTGTAAGTGAACGAATTTTCTTCTTATATAATTCTTTTTTTTTTAGAATCAATATGGTGAATATACTCAAGAAATAAGTGCATTTTTACAAGATTATGCTGCATTTGTAAGAAATCAAATTTTTTTTTGTTTAAATACGAAAATTTTATTTCTTATAGACTTTATTAATGGATGAAAATCTTCAACAATATAAATCAATTTTAAATAAAACTGAACAAAAATTAACAATTATAAAAGATGATCCGGTTGAATAAGCATTTATTTTTCTTTTATCTGGTGCAATATTTTAATGAAATCTCACATAGATACTGGTGTCTAATATTATTGAATAATTCCTTTTTTTTCTCCTATTTATTAAGTATTTGTTTCCATTTATTTGTTTCCTTTTGAACATTATTCCAAAATGGTTTATTATGATCGGTAATAATATACATCATTAAAAATATTGGTGTCGTAAATATAGCTTCAAATAGACGAAAAGCGGGTGGTGATTGTTGAAATTTATAATGTCCAAATCCTTGCATAATTAAACCATAGAAAAATATAAGAAATCCATAAAGAATGGACTTTGTACTTTGAGAAGAAAAATTCATTGTTAAATTAAAAAGTATACCAAATAGAATCATATAGGATATAGCTGTTTTAGAATCGAAAAGAAAAACAATTCCACAATAGAATATGTAAAAGAATAGAGCGAGACGATAGTCAATAGAATAAGTCATAGTTAAAATACCAAATATTAATAGAGGTATTGCACATGTATGTAATAGACGATTAATTCGATGAGAATGATAATAATTAACAAAACCAAATTCACTTTCTAATGAATTTCCTTTGAAAAATGGAGCAAGTGAAGATAACCCAATACCACTCATTATTGCCAGAAATAAATTTTGAAGTGAATAACTATATAAAACACATCCCTTTTTTTATCTATGTTTAATATATGAGTCATATACTCAAAGTCAAAGAATTTCTTTTATAGGTACTTTAACCTTTCTTTATAAGTAAAGGTATCTTTTGAATTCATATTTTAGATATTTTATAAAAACAACTCTCATTATATGGAATGATCTAATTTTTTTTTCAAATAATTATTCATACAAAAATGTCTGGATTCACACAGACATCTACAACTGTTCTATCGAAACGATATGATTATTTATCTGTACAATTACATTGGTTTTATTCAACACAAAAAAGATCGTCGATATATTCAGTTCGATGAATCTATAGATCAAATATTTAAGGTTAGTTGAATATGTGGAAGATTTTCGTCAGACAAGTCGATTTATATTAGAAAGTCATTTTAAATCTTATGAAAGTTTGAAGCTCATGATAAGCAAAATGTAATCATAATAGATAAATTAAATAAGTCGCTCATTTTAATCCATCATATTGACTCAATTGATGATGTATCATGAACAATTTATTTTCGAGTTGATTCTTTGTTTTTGTAATTCAATTAGAAAGAGGCGACATCCAGATAATATCTTTTTTATTTTTTTAAGGAATTTTTAACAATTTGTTGGCATGGTGATCTCCATCTTGATATGAATCATGGAACATGTTCATATGAATAAATAGTTTTTTTGTTTTATGATAGTCTGCAGGTGGTGATCATCATTATCAAGTGCTAGCAAACCTCGAACATTTATTTATACAACTTCTGGTTATCGTCAAGTAGATCAATTAAATGTAATAAAGAAACATACTTTATTTTTTATTTTTCATTCTTAGAAAATAACAATATGTTGCATCAATGAATTGAATCGTCTTGATGATCTATTTAAACGACGTAATCGATTATTTAAAAGGCGCATATCTGTTATTGGATATAGTCTAGGTATACAAAAGATTATTTTTTCTATGAAGTTATTCTTATCACATCTAAAATAGAAACTTACTAAACACTTTCAATACAAAGGCTTTTACCGTATTCATAAAGAATTAAATCGAGCCTATTGAGTACCATCATAGAGTATCATAATTAACGGAGATCAAAGTGAGTTTTATCAAGCGATAAACTCATATAGGCCTATTCCACTTTAGTGATCATAGAAAAACCGCTATTTCCTAAACGGAACTTGAAATAATGTTCGTTTAATTTTAGAGAACTCTCATACGGTTCATATTTCTTGAGGTATTATAACGATAAGATTTGTGCACAACATTAACATAATGATCTGTCGCCTTAATTCATTCTTTTGGTAATACACATGAATATAGCAGAAAAAAGATTCTCCGAGTAAAATGTTTACTTGTTTATTATTGTTTCACATATAACTGTAAAAATTAGAAAAATAGTACTTCTTTGAAGTATACTTGATGCAATACTTATTTTTAGATCATCAATTTAAAGTTTTCTGTTTCTAAAATTAACCAACTTTCATCCTTATGATAACATATAGATTTTTCCAAAGGTCTTCTTTTTTTTATACACATCTTCTTTATGATTTCGAATCACAAATTCTTATGGTTTCTTAAACTTCAGATTTTGTTTTTCACTGCAAAGAAATCTTGAATAATAAGCGATTTTTCTAACTATTTTCAAATTTAACTTTAGACACTTATATTACTAAATAAAATCAAGATCAACATATCGTCTTATTGAAATAGTTAATGAACATGTACTTGATTCAATTTTCAATCAGAACTTCCAAAAATACAATGTTATTGATACTAAAAGAGATTCTAATCAACAACAAATAAATTAGATTATACATATCTTCAACTTAATATGATTAATAAATACCATAGAATTTTGTATCTCGTTTTTTTTGCCTAATTTTGTTCTCATAGTTTGTAAAAAAAACATTTTATCTAATAAAAGAAAAACTATATGTTCTAGATGTAATGATGTTAACAAATAGAACAATTTATTTATTAAATATTTCTATAAAAAGATTTTCTAATTATTCATTAATTCGATCTGCATCATGGAATACCAATAATAAGTAAGAATATGTGTGATTATATGTTGTTATTCAGTAGGGATTGTTTTGTCTGGTAAAATTCTATATTTAGATAATATTTAATTTTAATATTTGAGAGAATATGAGACTAGTGTATTAAATAACAAAAGTATTATTATATCATTAGAATGTTTTAGAAAATAAATAGTTCAGTTATTTGATGCTTAATATAAAAACATGGGCAAAATAAATTGACTTTTGTTTTATCTTAAAAAGAACAAATAGAATGTGTTTCTACATACGGCAAGGATTACATCTATATATATCTATATACATTGTCGAATAGAAAACAACATTGTTATTTTTTCATTATATAGATTAAGAAAAGCTTTCATCAAGTTATCGATTATCTCAATCTTTTTTAAATAGAAACAATAAACGAAATCTTTTTATTGCCTAATTTTTGTCGAAATAGAAAAATTATGTTTCTCATCCATCAAAATTTTCTTATCATATCAATAATAATCTTATGTTATTTTTTGTTCTATGTTATAGACTTCATGAAGTTGGCCTATTTACAACTGTAAAACAAGAAGGCAATTATCAAACAGGTCAGGTATGTCATATAGTTGATGGATGGATAGATGTCAAATATACATTAGAACATGCCTATGCGTATATTAAAGGACACTTGTCATCAGTGACAATTCTTTCTGTACAACAAATAATACAACAAATTTTCGATGTATACAATAGAAACAAAGAAAAATAAAACAAAACAAAACGAAAAAATGAAATATTTCTGTATGTGTATGTCTGTGTTCATATCACAGAAATTTCTAATCTACAGTGTGAAAACAAAGAAAAAACAAAACAAAAACAAAGAAAAAAAATAAAAGAATAATAGATACTATGAATATGAACAACATAGAGGTTGTCTTTGTGATTGATCATTTAATTGTACAAGAGTATTTAATGTTTGTGATGGAGTTTCTCCATTCGTTATTGTTGAATCGATTTGTTGAAGAAGTGCTTGTCCAATTGCTTTAAAACAAAATTCAACATTTAAACCAGTTTTAGCTGATGTTTCAGTATATGTAACATTATATTCACTTGCTAATTTTTCACCCATTTCACGTGTTACAACACGTTCAGTTGTTTTATCAACTTTATTAGCTATTAACATAACAATTACATCGGAATGAGCATATTCATGAATGTCACTTAACCAAGCACGAACATTATTAAAACTAGTTATAGATGTTACATCATACAGCAATAATAAAGCATTTGCATCACGATAATAAGAATGAGTCACAGAACGAAAACGTTCTTGACCGGCCTTGAGAAAAACAAAAAGAAAAACATAAAATATTGAAGTTTTTTTTTCTGAAACTATAATAAACGCATGTTCTTTTATCCTCTCTAGAATAAATAAGATAAGTATATCTAAGAGGTTTGTACTGAATAATATATTAAATCAATTTTATTTCAGAACTAATCGTATATAGTTAGAGTAACAAAATAAAGATATTTATTTTATATAGTATAGTATTTTTGACTGTTTATACGAAAAAAAATTAAGTCAATTTATCATCGCGTGATAATATATCGTAAATACTCTTGATTATTTTTATAGATTTAAATCTTTAATAATATTTAAATAAAAAAAATCAATATTATTCTAAAGAAAACATTTAATAAATGTTTTTCTTCAACATAATATATAAACGAAATGATAAATAATCTTTTTACTATATATATAAGTAGTTTTTTAATACTTTTGAATGTTTCCGAGAATATTCGGTCTTGTATTTTCTTCGTTTAAATATGAAAGAATAACAATAAGAAGAAGAAGAAGAAGAAAAAAAAGAAGAAGGTTCTCATTTTCTTACTTCCGTTAAGAACTTTTTTTAACGAAGAAAAATAAATATATATGATTTTTCTTTTTCTCATATTTAACGAATTAAATTAGTTCAAGGTTTAATTTTACATACTGTATCATAAATCTGTAATTTGACTTGTTTATCATTAATCACAATAGTTTTGTTACGGAAATCAATGCCAACTGTTGCAATAAAACTTCCACATAAAAATGTATCATCTTTAAAACGTACTAATAAACATGTTTTACCGACACCACTATCGCCAAGTAACATAACCTAATCGAAACAAAATAAATACAATTATTATGTTTTTTTCTTTTACCTTGAATGTACTTTGTTGAGCTTGATCATGATTGTTGGTTGCTATTGGTGGTGGACGGTTCATATCTGTATTTGGGATTTATTCTTTTATCAAATCTAAAAGTTATTTAATACCTGATTAGTAGTATATCTACATTTATGATCGATAAAAACTGAGGAAAAAAAAAAGCGAGGCACATGATTGGATTCTCATAAAGTATGACATGGACAAAGTTATTTTTTGACAACTTCATAAGTGTTTTTTTCTCTCGTTCTTCTTTTCATCTTAACATCTACCTGTCGAGCAATACCGAATGCATATATGCACTTCATCTATAGATGCGTACAAGCAACAGTCTGTGAAAGTATTTCTTTCTCGACATAAAATGTCATGTTATTACTCTTCTCTCTTTTTTTTTTTTCTCTTACATATACAAGACATAGAAGAAGAATAAGCGATAACAATGTCAATGAGCTAGATTCACATTTGATTAGGAAATGACAAATCGCGCGACAGATCTTTCCTTTTTTTCTTCTTCTTCTTGGTTTTTCTTCTTTTTCTTTTTCTCGTTTTCTGTCATCATCCTATTGCGTGATTATTTTTGTAGTATGATAGTTATGTTTGTCTTTGTATGCATTTCAATATGAACAAACTAACAGAAAATCTCACGAACTTACTTATATCACTCTTTGTCTTTCTTTATAAACGTGCTTGAATGAGCAAAAATACGAGAAACGAGTTGGCAAACGAATAACATCAGATGAAGCGTGAAAACAACATCCATGCAAACGTCTATAAGCAACAAGCAAATAGAAGAAAGCGCGTTGATGAAAGAGGAAATAGAAAGAAAGACGAAGAAAAAAAAAGGAAATAATCGTTTTCTCAGATCTACTGTTCTTAAATGTAATAATTTCTTTTTTTCTCTCGTTTCTATTAACACTCAACTAACTATTAATTTGAATTCATGTAAAATAATAATTAAGATGACGTCTTACTAAAATATATAAATATACAAATCTATCAAAGAACTTCTTATATATATATATATTAGTTGAAAATAATTGTCTTTGTTTGTTGATACTTGTATTTAATATACAATTGAAATTTATATTATCAAGAGAAATAGACGAATGAAATAGTATAACTCATTGGAATGTTGAGCAGATGAACAATACACTAAGAAAAGATGAAGAGTGGTGTGCAAACCAGATGAGAGTAGACAGCAAATAGTAACAACGAGAGAAATGAGAAATAAAAAAAACGGAAACTTCCTGCTTGCAAGCTGTGTTGATAGTGTTTTCCTTCTCTTTCCTACCACCGTTACTGCTACTACTACAGTTTCTGTTCTGTTACAGCAAATACATTCTGACAAATCGAATGATTCTTTCTCTCTCTCTTGTTTTATCCTAAAAAGAGCGTTTTGCATACATTTATAGACAGACTCATAGAGTAATTATCGAAATAAATTGTCAACTAACAGCTTATTTCGATTTTTGTTATACTATATATATATCCATACAAAACTAATTTGATTTCTAGTTTCTCTTAAAACTAATAATCGATAATTTCTTTTCTATCAACTTATATAAAAATCGTAAAAAGCTTTTTACAGTATTTTATTACAAATACTAAATGGAAAAAAACTCTTTTCCCTTTTTATCGCTATTCATAAAAATGCAATAATACATTGATAGTATTAAAGATGAATAAAAAGAGTTTTATAATGTGAAACCATGCATTAAATCTAATTATGAAAAAAGAGAAGAATTTGTGCGTATTAGTTTCTTATTCATTTTTTTCATAATTTAGTTATTTCTTCATCGAGTTTTTGGATATCGAGGTGTTATTTTATTTCCCTGGCTTGCAAGAGTATTTGATCGATATGATGGACGTTCAAATACATTACCACCGTTACCAAAAACAACAAAATCATCACAATCAAATATTCATGAAATTCGTGCAAGATCAGTTACGTATTATCAAGTATTAATTGATACACGAGATATGCCACATATTCGAGCTCAAACAGGTTTAATTTATTCTTTATTTTTTGAATTGAATATTAAATTTGAATGTTCTTTTTTTTGCAGAAGCTGTGACATTTTTGGGTAATCAAGAACGTGATAGAAATCTTTATGCTATACCAGGCCTTGATTATGTTGCACATGAAGATGTTATACCATATACGGTAATTTAATTAATTTTTTTTAATGAGAAAATCGAATTGATTCTACTACAATAGTTACTTTGAAGCTGTTAATATGAAGATTACGTTTTTTTGTTATGATTTATAGACAATGGTCACACAAGATTAAATAATAAATAGTTCACTTTGTAAATTCATGGTTGTCAAAAAGAGTTAATCGAGTATAATTTTTATGAAGTATTTATTTGCGTCATATTTGTCTTAGATTTACGCAAATTTTCTATGATGAACATATAACCGGAAATCGATCCGGATATGTTATCAGATTAGTTAGTATACATTACCATTGTACATCATACTATCGTATGAAATGATCAAAATATGATAATACTACATTATATGAATAACAGATGTTTGAAAGTTGAACATGGATACAAATTATTATCCTAGTAAATGGATCAGATTTAATCTGATCAAAATTTATTAGTCTATAAAATCTATAAGTGATTGTGACATTACTATACAAGATGTTCTAGGATATGATAGAATCTGACTATTGGATCAATCGCCGGGGGAATATCTTATGATGAATTCTAAATCGGTTGCTAATAATAAGTTTGTTGTATATAAAAATAGACTTTGATTTTAATTGAATTATCAAGATTTTTTATTGTAATTTAAATTAACGTATAATTTTTATTTTCTACAGAGTACAGAACGAACACCAATTGAACATGAACTTTTTGATAAATTCTTAATGCATGATTCAGAAGCAACTCCAAATTTTGTACCACGTGAATATTTAAAATCTTGGCAAGAACGACATCATCTTTGGCTTGAATTATCTGATGTATCTAAAGATGTAACACATCAAATACGTGTTACTGTTATTCCATTTTATATGTAAAATAATAAATTATTCTTTTTAATCAATATATTTCTTTCAAATTTATTAGGGGATCTCGTTCAGCACAAGGTGTTACAGTTCATTGGTGGCGTTATTCAATTCGTGTTGAAAATTTAAATCCAGATGAACCAGTTACATTACGTGAACGTCATTGGCGTATATTTAGTTTATCAGGTACATTAGAAACTGTACGTGGTAAAGGTGTTGTTGGACATGAACCAAGATTATCAAAAGAATATCCAGCATTTCAATATTCATCTCATATTTCATTATCAGCACCAAGTGGTCATATGTGGGGGTAAGAATTCTATTTTAAAAATAATTTTTTTCTAAATAACTATATTTTCAGTACATTTAAAATGGAAAAAGATGATGGTACATTTATTGAAGTTCGAATACCACCTTTTAATCTTGAATGTAAATCTGATCCGACTGATAACAAATCATTAATATAATTTCTTTTCGTTTTTTTTAAATACCTATTTGTGTGTGTTTGTTATGTTATCTAAAATATCGATAGAAATAAAAATGAAAACACTCGTACCTTCCTTCTGTTTGTTTTTTGTATAAAATAAAGTTTTATACTTCCAGATTTTATGTTGTTCAGATCTCTTTATCAGAATAAGCATATATATCAAAAATTTCATACAAGTTCTCCACGACATGTTAATCCTATATTATGGGTTTTTCTTAAACCTGCACTTAAAGGTATCGCTTGGATAACCGGCAGGTGAGAAATATAATGGATATTGATATATATATATGTCTATGTATATATTTTATAAAGATCAGCTAGAAAATGGTATCGACAGCTACCAGCGGAAAAACAATCTGTATTTATGCAACATCTTAATCGACATAAATATACTTATATGGGTATATTTGGAACAATAGGAACTGCTGCTGGCGTATAATTTTCTATATTTATTTTGATTGTATGTCGATATTTATGTATAGATACATTATTATACTCATCTTGAAACAGCACCTATAACTGGAAGACGACGTTATATGATGATGAATATTGACTACTTGAAACAATTATCTGAGATGGAAAAAGAAAAGGTTTATATTTGACTTTTCATTTAAATAAAATTTTATTCAATTAAAATTTAGATGGCATCAATGTTTAACAATCAAATGTTACCCGAAAAGAGTAAGCAAACTCAACAGGTAGCTCGAGTAGCAAGACGAATTATTGCCTCTAATATGGATATTGCCAATATCAAAACAATAAAATGGACTGTTCGAGTTGTTGTAAGTAAAAATTTTCTTGTAAGAATCTATATTAGTTTGCTTATTTTTTATAAAAAAAAGGATACTGATATGAAAAATGGTGAGTTTTCTTTATACGAAAAAAAATCTAATGATCTATTATTTTCTTTTTCATCTTAGCTTTTGTCTTACCGGTATGTGAAATAATAAGAATTGGAACCGAACTAATATATTTCTATTATTTATATCTAGTCCGGTGATATTTATTTTACTCGAGGCATGCTTGAAACAATGTATGTATATAATTCTATTCATTTTTATGTATATGTTAATTTTAATTAATATAGGACCAATGAAGATCAAGTAGCTATTGTTCTTGCTCATGAACTTTCACATGCATTATTAGGGCATAGTGTATGTTTTGAAAATTTCTAAATCATATTTGTATTAGATTATTCATAGGGAGAAAGAATATCTTATTTGCAAATAATCGATATTCTAGGTACGTACTTTGTATTCATTGATGAAATCAATAATTTCTATGGAATAATATAGTTCAGTTTAGCTAGTTTTATCGAAAGCTTTCAACACATACCATATATATATGAGATACAATTAAGCCGAGGAAATTAGATAAATTGACAACTGGCACATTTGAAAACTCTGTCAGTTTTGATTCTATCTCAGTTACGGATATCTTATACTTTGAATGAAATATGACGTATCTATAAACAAGATCTTTTTTACTATGATTCAATGAAAGTGTTGGCATGGATAGATAGATATCAGCTTCTGTTGAGTTCTTATGTTTTACATCAAAAATATTATAAGAAAATCTTTGATTTATTTATTTTTCTAGCTATATTTGGTGCATTTATTATTTGGGCTGTTTTCCCAACTGATTGGACTTCGTAAGTTTATTATTATCTATGCAATTTATAACAATTCTCTATTGAATTTCCAAGTTTTTGGGTGAATTTTATATTTGAAAATTTTATAACATTTACCTCTCGATTACCTTATTCTCGATATTTGGAAGAAGAAGCTGATGAAGTGGGTCTTATGTTAGCAGCAAAAGTAGATAAAACATGTGTGTTAAAAAAATCGGCACTTTTTAAATTCGTTTTATTTTAGAGCTGCTATGACGTTCGTGAATCAGTTAGTTTCTGGAAAGCAGCTGCAGTAGCCGATATTGAAGCAGCTATACCAGAATTCATGTCTACACATCCAGCAAATGCTAAGCGTGCTGAAAATCTTGATAAAATCGTTCCTTGGGCACTTGATTTACGTCGTGAATGCAATTGTGCTCCATTACCACAAAATAAAACACTTGGTGTACTTAATCTTTCAACACATCCCGAAGAAAAAGTATTCATCTTCGTTAAATATATACTTATAATCTTATTTTTATATTTATATAGATAATGGCACCGATTGAAAAAAATGCAGGTGGTTTACGTCATATACCTGTGATAGAAACTATCAAAAAATAATAATTATATTTATAATTCTCTTTCAATGACTTAATATTAGATTGCTTTTATTTTATTATGACTGATTATATGCGCCATCTATTATTTTGAAATAAATCCTATGATTTGTTTAGAAAAAGAACCTTTTGTTGTTTTCTGTTTTCTTAACATATGTTTGCTTTTACTTGACTTTTTCCAAATAAGAAAAATGGCTGATGAATCATCAAAACATGTTTTCAGATATTTAATTATTGAAAAACAAAACAATTGATCTCAATCGATGAATAGATTCAAAAATGAATGGTAAATATAATTCTTTTATTAATATTAACACGAGATATACGAAGTTTCGATGCATACTAAAATAATAATATTTTAAGACTTGAAAATTGATTACTAAAACTTTTCTTCCCTATTGATTTTTCAGATATCAAGTGATAGCAAAAGAAAATCGTCGGAGTTGTCAAATAATTAACAAATGGTAGTCGATATAACAACCATATCAGCGTATGCATTCAAATGTACATCGATGAAATAATTAATGAATATTCAAAGGTAGATATAATAGATTTTTTTGCTTTTTTCTTTATTGTTACGCACTTAATGAATATAAATAAATTAAATCTAGTTTGATTGAATTCATTTGTTTGTTTTTATAAATACAAGAGACTTGAATAATAAGAGACTAATATTAACTGTTGATATTGAAGTACGTTAAATAATATGGAAATAATCATCACATAATTCAAAAAAATTGGAATTACAGACTTATTTGTATAAATACATAATATCTTCAATGAAATTAGAAGGATTATTTTTCATATTGACCTTCGTCAATTAGAAATAAAAGCCAATTATAATTTAATATTTCTAAAGTCACAATAAAGATTGCAAAAGAAATATGTAATGCGTGTTGGTCATCAGTATAGATAAGCAGCACTGACGAGTCGCTTAAAACCTCTCGAAACTATCAAGTATACAACTTGGACTTGGATCAAAAATTTTTCAGCTCACCATATTCTTATTGTATTTCCTTTCGTAGATTGCATTGGTGATTATTTGCTTGGCATATTCATCATCTTTAAATTGGTCGACGATCTACTATACATCTACATATTTATCTATCGATTATCTATGAACTACTTTTGTTGATCTAGTTTATTTTTTGTGCAATGAAAAAAGAAAACAACTAAAAGAGAAAATAACGCTATTTGTTTTTATTCTTATTCCTATATTAGTGGCAATATAATGTATTTTTACATTTATAGTTTCGTTTTCATATGTAAGTATTTATCATTTATATAATGATAAAGTTAATTATATAAACAAAATGAACATATACAAAAAAATACCATCAATAATGGATTATATTCTATTTCTCATATGATTTAATTAATTAATTTTATCTTATATGATAATTATAATTTTAGAAAATATTGACAAACGAAAAATATCTTCCATTTGGTGAGATTTGAATCAGGTAAAAAAATTGAGTAATTCAATTATTATTATTTATTTGTAGTTAAACTACTTTGCGGTAATTGAGTATATCGATTATTATACGCTTTATAGAATAGAATATAAAAGAGCATATTGAAACTGATTTATACAGGCTGTGAAATATGGATTTTAAAGATATTAATAAACGCGATGAATGATTTCGTTTCGATATAAAGTAATAGAATAGTCCTCAGTACGAATATTAACTCAAACTACAAATAGTGAAAACCGAAATTAAAATAAATATTAGTCAGTCAAAGTCTTCCTACTAGATTAAAAGTATTTACATTTGAATTCTTCATTTTCACTATAAGATAAATCAGTTTTAAAACATTATTTTGTCTAATCGATGGCTACAATTATGAAATTTACAGAGAATATTTAACTAGACGAGTGTATTACTTCGTACGTTAGGCATGATACTTTTTATTGACAATGGAAACAGCACTAGGTTCTCAAATAACAGATTTAATTTTTATGCTGGATTCTTTCCATTTAAAAAAATTGATTCTGTCATGTTCTCTACATAAATATCGATCAAGATCCACGTGTTTTTTTTACAATTACGACTCAAAGTATTCTGCTGCTGATGAATAATCAGTACAAATCTGGATTTGAATTGATGTAGGGATATTATCGTTGAGAAAAATATAAAATAATCAAAAACTCATTTGTAATTATTGTTTATTTTTGTGATTTTACATACAGATAAACAGATTAATAAAATAAACGATTGAAATTACTTATTTTTTGTTTATATTAAATTTCCTCTATATGTATATTTGGTTATCTTTTTCTTTTGTTTTCCCATGTTTAGAAAAAAAGCATTTTTTAGATAAAAATAATTAGATTTCATTTGCTTTTTTTTGTCTGTCTTTCAAAAGAATAGAATTGTGTAGGAAACTAATTGACTCACTTGAATATTCATCAAGGTAAGTAAATTTAATTTATTTATTTTTGATTTTTAGAAATTTCTTTTAGTCTTTCTTAAGATATAATGGCTGCTAAAGATGATTATCAAGATTTTAAAACTGCATTAAACGATTTAAAACTAAATAGCAAACCATTAATTAATTTTTTGACAATCTTAGCTGAAGAAAAAGTACACAATGCACCACAAATTGTACGCGCCATTGAAGAACGTATACTTGAAGTTAGTAGGAAATTTTTATTTTTTCATAAATTTCTTTCTTATTTATTTTAGAGTAAAAGTGATCAGATTCTACCTGCTTTATATGTACTTGATTCAATAGTGAAAAACTTACGTACATCAGTTTATGTTCAATTATTTGAAGCAAGATTACCGTCACTTTTTTCTACAGCTTTTAATAGGGTTAGAACAAAAATATGTTTTTCGAATATAAAAACATCTTGGAATTATTCTTTTTAGGTCGATGAACGTACTCGATCAGCTATGTTTAAACTTCGTCAAACATGGCTATCATTTTTTAGTAATTTATCGTTGTATAATCTTGATGCAAGGACACATGATATTGATCCAGCATGGCCAATTACTGCTAAAGTACCAGATCCACCTCCATTCTCACCAACTATTCATCTTAATCCGAATTTTCTTCAAAGAGTATGTCATATGAAAAGCTTATTTTAATATTTTCTTATAATTCTTATAGAATGCAACATCATCTGTAACTTCTACTGATGTACAACCAATCACCGATGAATTCTGTCAACAAATCTTACGTTTACAACAAGAAGATCCTGATTCAACTGTATTTCGTACTCGAACTGTAAATCAACCTCCAGTATCAGTAGCACCACCTAAAATATCTGAATTGACATCACGTGGTGATACATATCATATGATACCTATTGATAGAATGGAACAAATTCGACAAGAAACCGCTCATGTACTTGATATTGGTGTTGATGGTGAACAACAATCAAAAATAAAGAAATTAATTGGAAAAAAGAAAAAAACAAATAAAAAACGTCGTCCATCAGCACGTTTACGACGACGTACTGCAGCACTTGCACAAGCTATTGCTAATAATGATCAAGAAACTTCCGATGAAGAAGATACTGATGAAGAAGGAGCTAAAATTAATGATAATAATGATGATGACGATGATGATGATGAACCATTTATTATAAAACAATCATCTGCTATTAGTAATGGACTTCATGTTAAATCAACTGTTAGTGTTGCTGATAGTACTAGTGGTGGAACTGAAAATGATGTGTAAGTAATCTATTTCTACATAATAATAATATACATGTATTTAATTAACAATTTTAGTGAAGTATTATTTGGTGGTACTGATAAAGATTATCGAGATACAGATATAACTTCTCAACAAACAATAACAAAAACCAATTCAAGTAATCTTGATGCTGATAGTATATTTGAAATTAATTCTAAATGTCTCTCACTTGCTGAACAAAAATATAAATCAAAAGAATTATCATCGGAAGAATATCAAGCAACATTAAAATTACTTCAAAATATACTTGAAAGTGAAGTTAAACGACTTACTGTGCAGCAAAAGTTAGTATTTTTATTAATATAAGAATGAATATACAAACAATCGTTAAATTCATTTTCTTTTCTAGTGCCAATTCATCCCTATTAAACGGTGCTAATAATCATTCACTAACACATCAATCAAATCCTTTACCCACAACAACAACACCACCAAGTCATCCATTTCAGCAACAACTTCTTCAATTCGCTCAACAACACGCACCACAGACAACATTGACACCACAACAACCAACTTTATCAACATTTCCCACTCCACCATTTCCATTTCCGGGTTTTGGTAATGATGCATATCATCATGTTATGCAAATATTAGCTACAGTTGGTGCACCATCATCTTATACATCAAATTATAATTTTCTACCTTATCTTCCACCACTACCACCTGCTCCGCCTTCATTTACACTCGTTCAGAATACATTTCAATCTCAACAACAACAACAACAACCATCTATATCATCTGATCAACAAATGTTTTCTGCTCGTCAAAGTCCACCATTAAAACGTTCACATGATGAAAATAATAATAATAATCCATATGCCGATGAAGAGAATAAACGACCACGTTATGATCCCGTTACTGGTCGTGCAACACGTACACGTAATTTCGATGAAGAAAATGTAGCGCCTGTACCATCATTAGTCGATGCAAATATAAATATGCTGAGAAAGTAAAAAAGTTCTTTTTTTTGAAAAATTTTCTTATAAAAATATCCTATTTTATATATAGAAAATATGTGGGTATTGCTCAACAATTATATATTGGAAAATTTCAATGTCGTTTATGTGGTCTTCGTTTTACTGCTAAACAAAAACATCATTATACATTTCATCTTGATTGGCATTATTTAGAGAATAAACAAGAAAAACATTTAAGTACAACAACATCAGCAGCAGCATTATTACAGCGAAGTCGTAATTGGTATTCATCTGTACAAGAATGGACAATTTATGAAGAAAATATTGAAGAACAATTACGAACAGGAAAACTTCTATCAACACAATTTCGACCAGTCAAAGATAATAATCTTTTAATACAAGGAGAAAATATTTTATCATCATCAGGTGTAATTTCTTGTCCTGCAACAGGAAATGGTGATAGTGTTGATGATGTATGTTGAAAATATTGATTTTATTTATATAGAATAAATTATTTTTTAAATTTTAGCGTTGTTTTGTATGTCATGATCCATTCGAAAACTTTTTTGATGATAATAGAGAAGAATGGCATTTGAAAGATGCTATTCGAGTTGATGGGAAAACTTATCATCCAATTTGTTATCAAGATGTTCAATATGAGGTAAATATAGTAAAAATATTTTTCGAACGAATTCTAATTTTATTTTTTAAACAGATATCACACGAAAATCTACCAGTAACGGATGTATTATCTGGTGATACTTCTTCAATATCGTCTAAGGATATTATGGATGTAACCACTAATCTTTTATCGGACGCGCCGACAACTGATTCTGCAACGACTATGAAAATCGAGAATAATGATACTATAGTTGAACCTTCTTCGCTGCCAGATGATTCGACACAACCAAATTATATTTCGTCTATGTCATTTGTTGATCTTGTTGAGACCATATTCATAAAAAAAGAAGATATTAAACCAGTTGAAAATATTGAACAAATACCTACGAATGCACAAGAAACATTAACTGATACAAGACCTGTATCTGAAGATATTACATTATCACCAACTACCGATGAACCTATAACTGAAACTCTAATTAATAACAGTTCAGAAGAAATGAGAACGACGTCGGATTAAGACATACATTTTTTTTCTTCTTGTTTGTTTCTCATTAGATTTCTGCAAGTTTGTTCACGTATCAGTGTGTCTGTTTATTTGTTCATGTGCTCTCTTTTTTTCTTCTTTTAATTGTGCGTGTATATGTACGTACATAAGATTTAAAAAGGAAAAATATATGTAAACAAAATAATAATTTATCGAATATTATTTATTCAACGTTTAGATATTAAGGACACAGATTGGAAAATAAGATTGAATGCATCCCTTTTTCATGAAAACAAATCATTTGAATAGTGAAATATTATAATATCAGTTTAAAGTTATTCTAATTCTATCTTCATTTTGATTAATCGTACTACTTTATAAATTTTCTCTTAAATAATAATTGAAGATACTGATAGGTTACAAATTAGAAGTTGTATTGAAACTGATTATACGAATTGCAAATTTGTAGAAATAGTAACGTCATACTGCCTGAGATTCTATGCAATTAATACTATATCACCTGCTAATGAAAAACAAGAGAGTCATCCGAACTTTGTTAATTATAACCAAAAAGTCAATAGTCATGCCTATTATATACCATTTTATATCGCTAAAATAATCAAAATAAAAACATTAGTTATAGTTTCTATCACGATTCTGTCGTTAAGAGTGATATCGTTGTATGTTATTTTTTTCTCTCTACAGGTAATTGCAACATCATGCAAAACATATATGATCCAAGACGAATATATATTTATGTAATGTGAAGAAAACAACAAAATATTATACGATCAACATATAAAACGACGCAGCACACATTTCATCAATATTCTACGATGGCAAATCAAACTGTCGCCAGCTTCTTTAAATTACCGATAGAACTCGTCTATCGAATTTTGGACCATCAATCCGATTTTACCATTGTCTGCTCCATGAGAAACGTCTGTCAACGATTAAATAGCATCATAGACAGTTACGATCGATATCAGGTAAACTTTTTTCTATCATTGCAATCCAATATGCATCTATTAACTCTCCAATTATTTCTTATTCAATATGAAAATAATGTCATGATGACCACCATAACAAAAATTTCTTCTTTCCTTTCTTTTCAATCTCATCTAAGCACTCTACATTTCGAACCAGGTATGATTCCCTCTCATTTGAAGTATTGCTCATCGATGCGATTCTCAATAAGCAGAAATATAACACAGTATGATACTACCAGCACAAACACTTCTTCTATCAGAAAAATTAAATTTTCTACCACACCACTCGTAATAATGTCTTTTTCACCTGGGTTCCCGCGTGATAATCTTCAGGACTGTACAGCACGTCAAGTCACAGAAACATATAGACGCATATCCATGCAATAATCAACATTTTATGTTAGATAACAGCGACCATCTATTCTGTCTCTTTATCTGTACTATATCCTTTTTGCATCCTTTCATTTAGACACTTACGACACTCGATCTGAACAGCGATATAATCGGAGATATTGGAACACAAATTTTGGCCCAAGCATTACAACACGACACAGTAATTCTCACTTTCTCTTGACCTGTATCATATCTTAACCTCTACTTGCTCATCTAGACACTCACTACCATAAAGATCACGCAAAATAAAATCGGAGAAGTTGGAGGACAACATTTGGGTGATGCATTACAACACAACTCAGTAATTCTAATTCTATCTTCGTCTATATCGTATATATACCACCCTTTTGTCATTTAGACACTTAATACATTAGATCTCGATAATAATCAACTCGGAGCTGCTGGAACACGATATTTGTGTGATGCATTACAACACAACACAGTAGTTCTCATTCCTTCTTCTTTTATAAAGTATCTATACCACCCTTTTTTCATCCAGACACTCACAACACTACATCTCAGAGCAAACCAACTCGATCATGTCGGAACACAATATTTAGCTGACGCATTACAACACAATACAGTAGTTGTCATTTTCTCTTTATCTATACCATATCATTATCTCTACTTTTTCATTTAGACACTCAACACATTAAGCATCGGATGGAATGATATCGGAGATGTTGGGGCGCAACATTTGAGTGACGCATTACAACGCAACACAGTAATTATCATTCTCTCTCTAACAATATCGTGTCTTTACCTTCACTTTTTCATCTAGGCACTCACTATCCTAGATATCGGATTTAATCAAATCGGAGATGTTGGGGCACAACAGTTGGGTAACGCATTAAAGCAAAATACAGTAATTATCATTTTTTCTTCAATCATATAGTGTCTATACCTTCACGTTTTTCGTTTAGACACTCATTACACTGAATCTCCAAAACAATCAAATAGCAACTTCTGGAGCAAAACATTTGGCTGATGGGTTAGGACACAATAAAGTAATTATTATTCGCTATTCAATCATATCGTTTCTATACCTTCAATTTTCCATCTAGACACTAATCACAATAAATCTCGCTCAAAACAGTATCAAAGCTTCCGGGGCAAAACATTTAGCTGATGGATTAAAACATAACTCGGTAATTCTAATTCTCTCTCCATTTATATTATATCTATATTATCTATTTGTCATGTAGACACTTACTACACTAGTTCTCAACAGCAATGAAATCGAAGCTGCTGGGGCACGATATTTGGGTGATGCGTTGCAACACAACTCAGTAGTTCTCATTCCTTTTCTTATCTGTATCATATCCTTAGCTCTACATTTTCATCTAGGCACTGCTCACACTAAACCTCTCTTACAACTCAATCGAAGCTTTTGGAACACAACATTTAGCTGATGGATTGCGGCATAACACAGTAATTGCCATTCCCTCTTCCTCTATATCATATATTTACCTCACTTTTTCATCTAGACACTTACCGTGTTAAATCTCGATAATAATAACATTGGAGATTTTGGTGCACAGTACTTGGGTGATGCATTACGAGACAACAAAGTAATAGCCATTCTCTCTTCAACCATATCGAACCTCTACCTCCACTTTTACATCTAGGCACTCACCTCATTAAAACTCTCAATCAATGAAATCGGAAATGATGGCGCAAAACACTTAGGTGATGCATTACGCCTAAACACAGTAATTATCACTCTCTCTTCAACAATAGTGTTTTTTACATCCCCATTTTCATCTAGACGCTGACCACATTAAATCTCTCAACCAATCAAATCGAAGCTGTTGGGGCAGCACATTTGGGTAAAGCATTACAACACAACACAGTAATAGTCATTTTCTCTTCGACCACAGAGTGTGTTTATACCCACATTTTCATTTAGGCACTTACTACACTTGATCTCGATTCTAATCAAATCGGATATATGGGAGCACGACATTTTGCTAATGCATTGCGACACAACACAGTAATTTTTACTCCCTCTTCATCTATATCATACGTTTACCTCCACTTTTTCATTTAGACACTCACTACAATAAGTCTTGAATGTAATGACATTGAAGATGATGCAGCACAATATTTGGCTGACGCACTACAACACAACACAGTAAATAGCATTCTCTCATCATCTATATCCTATATTTGCCTCTAATTTTTCATCTAGACGCTCACAACACTAAAACTAGGATCTAATGGTATCGGAGAGGTTACAGCACAACATTTGGCTGATGCATTACGACACAACACAGTAATTGTCATTTTCTCACCAACTATATCATATCTTTACCTTTACTTTTTCATCTAGACGCTCACCACACTAAGTCTTTATAATGAGCGAATCGGAAATGTTGGAGCGCAACATTTAGCTGATGCATTACGGCACAACACAGTAGTTTTCACTCCCTTTTCAACTATAGCATGCATTTATCTCTACTTTTTGTATGTAGACACTCACAACACTAAATATCGGTGGTAATGAAATCGGAGATGTTGGAACACAACATTTAGCTGATGCATTGTGGCACAACTCAGTAATTGTCACTCCCTCTTCAACCATATACTGTCTTTATTTCTGCTTTTTTTATATAGACACTTACAACAATAAATCTCGCTTCTAATGAAATCAAAGCTGCTGGGGCGCAATATTTAGCTGATGCGTTACGACACAACTCAGTAATTGTCATTTTTTCATCAACTATATCATATTTTTACCTTTACTTTTTCGTCTAGACACTCACCACTCTAGAACTTTACAGAAATGAAATCGGAGCAGCTGGGGCACGACATTTGGGAGATGCATTACAACACAACTCGGTAATTCTAATTCTCTCTTCATCTATATCATATCTATACGATCCTTTTTTCATCTAGACACTCACTGCACTAAGTCTCGAGAATAATGAAATCGAAGAGGAGACGATGAATAAAATCAATGAACTAGTTAAACGTAATGAAAGAAGAAGAAAACTGTGAATGGTAATAAGCAATTCATTTTGGTGACGAATCAATAGCTAGTGACGATGTTCCGAGTATTTTTTTAATAATTTTATAGAAACAGTAAATAAAACTGCTCGTTTTTACACTTAATGTGTATTGTGATGATAGTTTTTTCTATGTGATGATGAAGATGGGCGTAGGTGTAAGAGCATATCTACATCTACAGCCAAACTCTCGATTCAATCTTGAAATATTATCAAAAAAGCAATTTATAGTTGTAATAACTGGGTTTTATCACATCGGATTTATTGAGTTGCTAATGGATTACGACTTTTCAATTGTTGAAGTTTGCCTAGATAAAAATCTCGAAGAGTACAACCGTCTGGTGTCGTTGCAACCAATCTTTTAAACCTTTTAATGGATTGTCTCTTCACTTCATCTCGATCGGTTTCTTTACTTGACTCGAGTCGCCTGTTTTTCAATTGTGCTTCATCGGGTGAATCATTGAAGTTTGACGAATGATCATCTTCTATTAAATGCAATGGCTGATCATCAAAGAACATTTGTCCGAGTATTCTTCGAGATATTCTCACGAACGGTGGAGAACATTGTAAAAGTAGTACCTCTTCAAAATGATTACAATCCCATGATGCTATCGAATACATTCGATAATATAGCGTATTTAAGATACATGTGCGTGCATATCTTTCAGCTGCTTCCAGTTTCGTACGATTAACTTGTTTAAAATCAGCAAGTTTTATATCCGAATCATTTACCATTGCAACATTTTCATTTCCCGTCCAGAAAATACAAAGCCAATTCATGACAATAAGTAGTTCTTTCCTTTCGATTTCATCTTGATTTCGATTTTCTGTACCTTCACCCATTTGATTATGATAACTGCCACCAGTCATTGAATGACGTTCAAAAAATAAATTCCAAGATGAATGTCTTATTCGATTATCAGTATAAGATTTACCATCTAAAGTAATATCATTTTCGATAAAATCTAAACACATTAAATTAATCATCCAGGTTGATAGATTTCGAGCACATTCTGAGACAACTTTGGCATGAGCAAATAGAACGAATTCACGATCAGAATCGATATCTTTTCCACTTTCTTTGATTATTTGTCGAAACCAAGCTGTATATTGTTCAGATTCGTCCATTAACCGCTTAAAGATAACCCTTTCTAGGTCTTGATAGCTCTCTTTCACTCCAGGTAGACGTACGTAATAATCTCTGTCGTCTAGTTGAATTATTTCTCTGCCAGAACGAAGCTGTCCTTGAATGTTTTTTGCATATTGTTTTTCTTTTGACCAGTAAATAACTAAACTGCTGAGCGGCTCATGAGGCAAATTCAGAGCTTCTTCTTCTTCATACTGTCCATCAAAATCAAATTTAAACTGGTCACGAATAAGTTTCAATAACTCAATAATTTCTGATTTATGAATGTATACGGGAAAGTCAAGTTTCGAACCACCAGATATACATAAATAATTTCTTCTATCATCACACCAGGATTTCATTGATTCTTTGCCAGGCCGACCACACTTAGGTATGAGTCCAATGGATTCAAGTGCAGAAGGTTCAGCTGATGGGCACACCTTGATTTTTTGTTGATTTAAAATACTAATGGCTTTCTCAACTATCTTGTCGTCGGATGCAGATAATCTCTTATACTCGTCAATAGAGAATTTCAATACTGGATACTGTAATCCGCGATTAAAATGCAATGCTGTTACAGCTACCAGAAATCGTCGTATATGTGCAGTATCCTCTCTTATTAACATTTGTTCGCATTTTTCGATGAAATCTTTTACTTTTTCGTCGTCATAATTAGCATCATTGCCATTAAGATACGCACGTACAAGGATATAGACGTAACAAGCTTCATATTTATCAATTGCTGTGTTGACAGACTCTAAATATTCCTGAAACATGTCCCTATCTTCAGCTGTCAAAGTTTTCAGGGTTAATACTGTTTGAAGAATTAATCGAATGAATTGATACCGCCGACAGCAGGAGTCCAATGAAAATCGAAGACTTGATTCACCTTCAGTCGCTAGAGGAGTTCCGTCGAGTGTTTCTCGATAGTCGAGAGAAGTTAATTTTTCTTGAATAGCTAAACTAGCGGTTGCTGCTTGTTCACAGTAATTTCTAGCTTCTTCATCCGACAGACTTGATAGACAAGATAACGTTATTTCTTTGCAAGCTAAAGAAATATCATAAATTGGATAAATTGTTTTGAATTTTTCGATCAATTGTTTTAGATTTTCGTGGTATGCTTTTTCATAAAGTTTTAGGTTATGTATTAAGTAGAAAAGGTCTTCATCGTCTTGATCGTTCTTCACCGATGTTTTATCTAAAACTCTATTTCTCTGTGCTACAATTGTTTGAAAGTCTTGTTTGGTGTCTAATACATTTCGCTTTTTTTTCCTTTGTTCTTTTTGTTCTAACTGTTTTTGTTGGATAAATTCTAATTTTGCATCCCAAAGAGTTTGATATCGACGCTTTTCATCACTGCAAGATTGACTCCAAGGCTTTTGGTGCACTTTATCAGATAAAAATTCATATGATTCTCCTTCTTGAGCCATTTCGCGCTGTATTGCTTTGATATCTTCAGCTTCAGCTTTTCGTACTAAAAGCTTTGCAGTCTTCAAACGAGAATATCCTTCTACAGAACGCCAGTTAAAATTGAGAAGTTCGTCGTCAGGTTTTGTGTTAGTTGCACTCATGATAACCTATAATTCTTATAAAATGAAAAAATATCGCTTTTTCTTTTCTTTTTGAATTCTTTATCTATGTATGCTCTTATTAGTATATCTTCACAAAATAAAAACAAAAGCAAATACTTTTGCTTCCCCAGGTTGTTGATGATTACGACGACGTGTACGACCGTATACATAATACTTACGGCCGTCTACGGATCGTAAATCGTCCCTTTGATATTCACCGTATTCCGGTCGTATATCACTGTGTCGTACATGGTGTGGGCGCAGGCATCATTGTCAATATAATAAGAATATAGCACCCACATCCATACCCTATTTCATTCAAAATCTAAAGATTCAATAATCTATCCAATATTTATAGAACATATTGTGTGATAAATTTTATTATCTATTATTGACAATAATTTGACTATTATAAAATGTAATACAATATAGGAACATGAAAAATCAAAAATTTCGATTCAATTAACATAGTATAGTTACTTAAATATATAAAAGATCAATGTAAAATCATTGACAGAAGGATATTTTACTATTTATGTTCATTCTTGACGAATTCATTGAGATCTAACAATTCGATCTTTAGTGTAAATATCTATGATAATCAAAATTTATTCTATATGTCATTTAGATGTTTATTACAATAAAAAAAGACGTTTTTGCTAAGTTTGTAATCATAATCCCATAAGAAAACTGTGATTATTCACCAATGAAGCATTTTTCAAAAATTTTCCATAGATTTTACTTAATCATTGATTTTTGTATATAATCACGAATAAGGAATAGACTGGAAAATATTTAAAGATTTATTAAATTCACGGTTATATAGAATTTCTAATATTGTACATGGAAAAAAATGTGGTATAGAAATATAAATAAGAATTACTTTAAATTTATTTAAAAGTTGTTGCTCTGGCAGACTAGTGATAACACCAATCCGCACAATTTCGTCATCGCAACACGTATTTGATCGGGTAGGATCATTTACCTCTTGGTAAGTTGTAATAAGCAACTTTTCTCGATAGTATATGGGGCACGATATCTAGCTTGTCTTTCTATATATCACATCGAGGATATAGAAAGGAAAGTGAAATGTGTAAAGACCCAGTAGATGTCGTGCTCCACACACCATCGACAGAGTTGCTTATTACAACTTACCAAGAGGTAAATGATCTTTACTGATCAAATACATGTTGCGATGACGAAATTGTGCGGATTGGTAGCAATACTGATCTGCCAGAGCAACTCTTTAAAAAAAAATGAAAATTATTTTGTTAACTATATAATTCATTATTTATTTAACTTGGAAGTTACGGAATTTTGTATGGTAAGCTAAAAAATGAGCTATCTGGAGATTTTGAATGAGACATATAAATAAATGATAATCATGGTAAAGTATATCTGAGTTATTGTATACAAAAAAATATTCATTAATTGAAGTTTCTAGTTGATCAGAAGACTTATCCACAAATGTAAATATAATTCACAGATCGATTTAGAATACTATGAACTGTGCGTAATGGATCTTTTCTATTTTGTTCAATTTGATTGTGTTCGAGATCTAGTTTGATAAGTAAACATGCGAAACACGGAAAATATGTAGATGCTTGAAATAAATGAAGTAAGAGTGACTGTACCTATTCTCCAACCCTTAGCATAGGTATTTTCATATCAGTCGACATATCTTCATTGACAAAGTTCATATAGAAAAAAGATAAGTGATTTATTCTATATTAAAAACTACATGAAACGTATAGAATTTTAGGGATACTGCAGTCCGAAATAAACGTACAAGACTACTGATATAGTCCATTTTAGCTAACCATTCTTCAATATCAGATGAATAAATCTCTATTTATATCGTATTTTATACGTATCAGCGATATTGTCAATACATAGATAAATTAATAATATACTATAATTTGAGAAGTGTCATAAATATTCAGGTTTATGTCTCCTTAGCAGCATGAATAATTAGAATTTTTTTTATTACTTAATACGTTCATCGAATTGGTGTATAGCATAGTCTTCCAAACATTCCTCAAAAACTAATATAGTAATTTACTGGTACAATAATAACATCTCTAACGTTATAAGAGAATAGTTATGTATGATTTTCTTGACTCAAAATATCTTCCAATCTGTTATATGTGTCTTCATACCAATGTAATCATTTTATTGAGCTCTACAATTAGTACCTCTTTTAAATACTATGATAACTCATATTTAGGAGTCTTTTTTTATCAGTGACACTTAGGTGAACCAAATATTAGATAACTAAAACCTTATCTAAGATCAAGGACAAAACAGATATTTTGAAAACATTTTGCAGTAAACAGTAAATAAGTTCTCTAAAGTGCACACCTCCTTACAGTTAACACTTTTTAATAGCCCTGATGATATTCACATTGAACAGGTGTAAGTCAACTTTTATAAATAAGAGTCTACATTTTGACCAATCTCTCTCCAAATAAGAACATAGATGTCGATTATAGTAGAGAACTTTGTACTTTTTATCATTATAATTCATTCGTGTAAAAGAATAAGCATGTTTAGTAACACGAAATAAAGACAGATGACATCAATACACGGTAGAGAATAAGTTGCCATTAATCTATAATAAATTTAGTCAAACAAACGTATATCTAACCGAATTATATAAATATTCTATAATTCCAAATCAATTTAAAATTATTTGTTAAAAAAAACTCATTAAATATAATGTATAGTTTTCACAATTGAATGATTTTAACAAATCAAATTTCATTTCTATCCTCATCTATCGTCATTTATTATGATTGGTAGAAAATATTTATTTTGAGTAACATAGGTGAGGTGAGCATGTTATGTGTCGTATGTATATAAGTTTAATTGACTTGATAGAACGATTTTATTGCTTTAATAAAATTCATCATTCTTTTTATTTTAAGTCATCAATAAACTATGAGTAAGTTAAAAGATTTCATCTATTTAAACAAAAATCATTTTTTTTTACATTTTAGCTTCTAATAATACAGACGATTTATTTATATGTGGAAAATGTCGTATGAATTTTACTGATTTAAATATATTTCTAACTCATCGATCGACTTGTATTGGACAACAAACAAGAAATTTATTTCATCCATCATCAGATATACTCGAACACGAATTAGATGCAATTATTGAAGATGTTTCATTATGTATTCCACAAACAACAAGTTTATATTATCATCCTCTAGATTCTGACATCCAATCGACAAATGAATTTGATTTATTATTTTCTCAACCTGTTGAACACAATACTATTAATAATGAAATATTAAATTCGAACGTATCATCTAATCCTACAGAATATGCCAAAATAGAAAATGATATATCTCAAATGAGTCTATTGGAATGTCCAGTATGTGATGAACAATTCGATGCACCAATAATATTAGAAAATCATGTTTTTGAACATTCAACATGGATTGATGAAGATGATAATACAAATTCAAAACTTGGTTTATCTTTTGATGATTCATCATCGAGTTATACAGATCTACTAGACGAACAATCAACGAAACCATTAGAATGCAAACAATGTACTGTCACGTTTGCTTCCAATGCATCATTAAATATTCATAAAAAAATGAGTAAGGCATTGTTTTATTCATTCGATGAGTTTTCAAATAGCACTGGAAGGTTTTCTCTCTACGTCATACATTCTGTTATTGAATAAATAACAGAATTTAAAATTCACAGCATATAATTATATTTTAAACATAACGAAATAACGAGAATAGACAAGTCATTTTTTTGAAATACAATCATATATCATTATCATGTGATAGAAATCTATTGTTTGTTCCTTGGATAGACGATATTATATCTGTAAGGTAATAGGCTACAGGGGGTTGTTCGTTTTTTTTGTCACGCTTGATTGGAGCTACCTTCAATATTGTTGATAACCTTTCGAGTCATGATTTTACATTTGAATATGAAGAGCCTAGACCTTTTTGATATTGTAGACTCTATAAAAGAATTTATTATTTAGTTCATTGTCTCAATCCTGTCTTTCGTTGTTTAAATGAAGCTTGTTCTCAATTATTTGATAAACCTGTTGATTATATTCTTCATGCACGTATTCATAGTCAAAAACGACATATTGGTTCTCGACGTACATCTCGTAGTAATGTTTGTTATCGTCGTCGTAAACGTACATATCGTTGTAGAATATGCAAACAATCTTTTGTAACATCTGAACAATTACAATATCATATGCATTATGAAACACATAAATTTCTTTGTCAGTTATGTCCAGCAGAATTTGAATCGAATAATTCCTATCATAATCATATAGCAAAACATTCTGATCTTGCACTTTATCGTTGCACAGTATGTATTGAAACATTTCAGAAACGAAATGATTTATCACGACATGTTATAACACAACATAATGAAGATATACCAAATCAAAAAAGTTGTTCATCATGTAAATTAACATTTAAAACAACATTCCATTTAAATCGACATAATGTTACCAAACATTCAGATATAAAACCATTTAAATGTCAACAAGATGGATGTGAACAAGCATTTGCTCGGTATTATCAATAGAAAATTAAGCATAGAACAGAAAAATGTTAAATTTTTATTTGTAAATATTTTTTTAGAAAAGATAAACTAAAACAACATGCAGCGAAACATAGTGAATCGGGTGGATTATTTAAATGTGATAGATGTGTTAAAACATTTGTTCGACCAGAACATTTACGTGATCATGATATTGTACGTCATTCACATCAATATCCATTTCAGTAAATAATAATAATATATTTTATTAGTAAAAAAAAATTGTATTTTTTTTATTTTAGGTGTGAATTATGTCGAAAAGGTTTTCTTCATCAAAATCAACTTTATGCTCATCATAAACAACGTCATTCGATTGAAAATCAAACGATAAAGGAAAATCCAGAATGTTTTATGTTTGAGCAAGCTCAACAAAATTTAGAATTTAGTAATTATCAAACAGATTTATATTTAGAAAGACAATGAATATATAGGAACATAATCCAATTTTATTATTGCAGATTAATTGTAGTCTTTCAGTGAAATACGTTTTGGTGTAGTCGAAGTTCGACTCACTATGCAATGGTATGGAATAAACAAACGACATTCCACCATGCATATTTTTGTTTTAAAAATATAGGAACTTGCTATGCAAGAATTTTTACGTTATTATATTTTATTTCTTTTCAATCTACAAAAATAATACAAATTTCGAATAATGTAGTTTTTCTTGTTAAAAGATGAAATTTGAGTAAACAAATTTTTTTCAATACTAATCAAGTTTCTTGTTTAACGGCATGCTTTAGTAGTTTGTTTGTGTCACACACACTATCTTGAATTACACTATGAACTATCGTCTGAAGATATCTCAATATTATAAAGGAAAAGAAATATTTTAATTGTCAGCAATTGATATTAAATTTTATAAACTGAAAAAAAAATTCACTTCTATATTTGTTTCGTTATCACATTCACTCTCCAATGGTGTACTTTAATCTTTGACCTCTATACTTAACACACAATCATGGATAAAGATAAAAAATATGAACAAAATTATTTAGTTTATACAACATAAAAGAACTGCATTATATTTTATAAGTCAAGTACCATCTACTTCATTTATTCTAAGTAATACACATCAAAATAAAACGTGAAAGGTGAGTAAATATATCAGACTAATTAGTATTATTAATTGAACATGCACCATTTTCATTGCATCAATAAATTATGTAAGTTCATTGAAGTTTGTCTATTGTCATGAATCTGATGAAAACTAGAGATGTTCTGCAGTTTGGTATTGCATCATCATCAAACATAAGAAATGTTATCTTATTCTTATCATATGATAGATACATCCTACTTCTATGCGTGGAATGAAAATCAGAACAGAGATGCTGAATCTGTCACTAAAACAAAAAATTTCCCTTAGCATTAGTAGTGGAAATTTTCTCAAACTATCGTACACGCACGTGTCTAGTTTCTACATCTTTTGGATAAGGATAATACAATATATATATATATACTCCTGTTAGACATTATATCTTATCTTTCATAGAATAACAGATTATTATGGCAAAAAGTAAGGAAGTATCCACAGCAAATGAAACATCCCAAATAAAAGGTAATATATATTTTCACAGTAGAAATCATACTAGTTTATTTATGAATAACAGCTCCACTTGTATGTTCACATCGTTTATTACTTGCCTTTTTGGCATTTCTGGGCTTTTTTCTATGTTATGCCCAACGAAACGGCTTTTCGTATGTATAAATTTATATGTATATGTTAATCAAGTTTTTGAACTAGTCTATTGCAGTGTAGCTATTGTTTGTATGGTTGATCCAGATGTAGATAATTTAGGATCAGCATATACCAACAATTCTCTATTGACAAGACAAAATATTCCAGTATCATGTCATAAGCATACGACACAAACAACTCGATCGGTATAAAATTATATTAAATTATGTACTGTATATATATATCATTTTGATATGTTTATATATATGTAATAGCCAGGTCAAGTTCTTAATTGGCCAAAAAAGACTCGTGGCCTTCTTCTTGGTTCATTCTATTGGGGTTATGCATTAACACAAATAGCTTCATCAATTGCTGTTACTTATTTTGGTCCAAAACGTTTTCTTGCAATGCTTATCTTTATGTCATCCTTGGCTACAGTACTATTACCAGTTATTTCCACGTGGAGTTCACCATTTATTGTATTATTACGTATTGTTGCTGGTGCAGCTCAAGTATAAGTGAACAGATTAAAGCTTGATTTTTATATTATTTATGTTTATGATAGGGTGGTCTCTGGCCAACTATTTTTCGTTTTTGGTCAACATGGGCACCAGCCTCAGAAAGAACAACACTTCTTTCATTTCAAAGTGCTGGTAAGTTTTCAAAGTCTTATTTAAATATTTTCCCAAAAAAAATTTATATTAAGGACCTTCAATGGGTACAATTGTTTCTTTGATAATCGGTGGTCTCTTTTGTACATTTTCATTATATGATGCTATTCCATTCATTTTTCGACATGGCTGGGCACATTATTTTTATCTTCTCGGTAAAAAAAGACATACAATTGTTACATAAAACCTATTAGAAAATTATTCTTAAATAGGTGGTCTTGGTATTGTCTGGTCAGTTGTATGGCTTATTCTTGCAAGTGACACACCTGCCATAAATAAATATATATCACCGGATGAAAAAGAATATATTCGAGCTTGTAAAGCCGTCGAAAAAATTCAAGATACAAATACTGTGAGTATAGAATTCATTGATATATTTATTTCATATTTCATAAATATAAGAAAACACCCTGGAGTGCAATGCTTCGATCGCAAGCTTTTTGGTGTATTCTTCTATCAATGTTTTTCTGTGACTTTGGTCTTTATGGTACGAAAGATATTCTTTGTTTTTATGAAAAATATCTGTTTGTTTGTTTTATTAGCTATCTGGGCAGTTGTTCCAGAATATATGAATGAAGTTTTATTATTTAGTATTCGAGAAAATGGTTTACTTTCTGCATTACCACATGTCGCAAGTTTTACTGCCGTTATATCAACAGGTCGTTTGGCAGATTATCTCATAGAAAAGAAATATTTAAAACGTGTTAATGCAAGAAAACTATTTCATGGTATTGGCACTTTAGGACCAGCTGTTTGTCTTCTATTTATATCGTTTCTTGACTGTGAAAGTCGTTATTTGGCAGTTATGTTACTTACTATTGGAATGGCATCGAGGTAAGGTATTACAAAGAATTATCATCAAGAGCTTTTCTTGCTTTTAGTGGTTTTATGATGTCAGGTGGGTATATGGTTAATGTTGGAGATTTTAGTGGTATCCATTCGGGTATTATTTTTGGTATTTGTAATACAGTTTGTATGAAAAGATTCTATTTTATTTACAAGAAAATAATTATATATATTTTTCTTTAGCTTGCATTGGCGGATTTGGTGCTCCAGTGCTAACAAGTATTATAACAAAAGATGTTCGTATATAAACCTTAGATTTCGATTGAATATCTGATGTTATGATTATTGTTTAGAAAACTACTGCTCAATGGAAAATAGCATTTATGCTTTATGCTGGTTCATTTCTCATATCAGCTATTGTGTTTTCATTGTTTGCTCGTGGTGAAACTGAACCATGGGCACGTGATGATGTACATGATGAAAAAATTAAGAATGATCAAGAAGCAGGTGAAGAACTAATGGAAAAATAATCAACATAAGTCATCCATTTGATCACATTCAACTCGTCCTCTCTCCACACTATCAAAAAAATAAATACATAGAAATAAATTAAATATTATTTTCATTCTACATACGAGCATGTTTTATAACAATTATGCTTCATAAACTCTGCATACATGCTTTCATTACAATGACTTTTCATTTTTTTGCAATATGCGGCACCATGTGAATCCATACATACGGCTAAATAATAAATAGAATTTAAAACATATGTTTCTTTTATAAAACTATAGATTTGTATTTTTACGTTGAGGTAAGACAGGTTTGCTAAGTTCACAAGTATTAATTTCTACATTTGGACAATTTTCTCTATCCGGATGTGGAAAATGAATATGTTCACGACATAAATCATGCATACTTAATAAATTTCGTTCTAATAATGATGTTAACATTGCACCGACAGCATCACCTAATGCATGTTGAACATTATCACCTTTACCAACTGTTGTGATACCTGAACCTTTATCTAATACTTGAATACAATTTTCAACACCACATAATTTTACTTGCATTGGACGACCATAAATAACACGCTAAAAATTACAACATAAAATATTTCTATTGATTTTAATTTTTAAAACAAACTTCTTCAATATCATTTGGTTTATTGAATAAACTACCCAACATACCAGTGAAAAGATTAAGAACGACAGGAGCTAAAGCGCTGACAATCTTTTTACAAAACATATATAAATAAATAATTGAAAAATATTAAAACAAATACTTACAAGAGTTGTTGTAACTGGTTCGATACGACTTTCCGGTTCATTACTCTATTAAATTGAATAATGTTTATTTTTTTTTTATCATTATCAATCATTTTGAATATTATTTACAAAATCTGATTAGATGCTATCTGAAGTGTGCGTCTTTCTACTTCAACTACTTATTTATGTCTCTATAGACTTCATACGCATTAATCTTATAGATAAATGTAAGTTGCCCAATTTTAATGAAATATTAAATTCTCATCTAGAATAACTAATCTATGTATATATTTTCAACCTTTTTTGTCAAATATCTCGATGGATATGATGAATCAGCTTGAATTGTTGAACCAACAAGTAAAGCCAATGCAACTATCAATGATGAGCAGATAACTAGTTAAATAGAACAATGATTATTTTTAACCTAGCAAAAAAAAACGATTATTTTACCGGAACACTTCATTTTCGAGTAGAAGAAAAAATAACCTTTCGTTACGAGAAAATATGAAATTAATATATCTCAATATACTTTTCTATCGTCTCCTACCCACACACATATACATCTGTATTGTTTTCCCATGAATATGAAAAAAAAAAGTCGGACTATATTGATATGAATATGATGCTTGTCTTTGAAAAGAAAAACAAAACAGAAGACAACAATAATAACAACAACAACATGAGAGAGAGAGAGAGAAAAAAGAAGAGGAGAGGATATTTCAGAAATAATAATACATGTATAAATTTGATTATATAAGTCATATACAAAAGCAAAACAAAATCTCGAATATTGTTTTTGTCAAGATTAAATATAAATACGATTAATTATCTGCACAAAAATCATTCCTGAGAAATAAGAAACAAAGAAAGAAAAAACAAAAAAAATTTTTTTTGTTATTATTTTATACGAGGAGCAGATTTATCTTTATCGATCGCCGTTTTACGTAGTTTAAAACCTCCACGTTGAATTTCTGCAAGTAAGGATGACTGAGGATTAGTTGTTGTTGCTGTTGGTTTTGATGGTGATATTATTGGTTTAGAATCATTGGATAAAAGAAAATCAGGTGGTGGTGGAGGAAAATCGTCATGATTATTTAATTGAAGTATTTCCTGAGTACATTTTAAATGAGCTTTCATAAGACTATCATTTATATGTTGATTATTATTTGTATTTATTGATGGTGTACGACGTATTGGTGGTGCTGGTTTTTCATTCGAATTCGAAACTATTGATGTACCACGACGAAGAGTCTCATTTTTATATTGTTGATTTGTTGGATGAATACTTTTTGTTAAATATTCATACACTAGAATAGTTTAAAAAATAAAGTATTTAGTTTGAAAAATGAAATTAATTTACTTTCATCGAGTGTTTCATCAGCGGATTCAAATGATGGCCTACCATAATAATTACCATTTTGATTTGAACGATCACGCCAAGCAATTGTTCGTGGATCAATTATCTATATAATAAATTTTCTTGTTTAATTTATACAAAAAAAAACAGTCTTTTTACCATCGTTTCATTTGGTAATGAACCATTACGAAGACGTTGATTGATATCTTCTGAAATAAATTGATAATTATCGATTACATAAGTTTGGCTTATAAATTTCTGCTAAAGTTAACATATGACAAAAATTCTCAATCCGTCTGTCATTTGTATCGGCACAAGCTAAATTATTTTCTGATTAACATCTTTTTCTCACGAAATAGACTAACGAGTGAACCTTAAGATATTTCATTAAAATAGTTTCATCGTGTTTCACATTGAAATCTCCAAGGAATTCTATTGATGGATTTTTTCTTCCTTCTTATATAGAAGAGAAGAAGAAAAAAACAGGTACTATTAATTTTCTTTGACATGTTTCAATATATATTGCTACTAATGATATTACAAATAGTTTAAATAAATATTGCCAGATAAGATAAAAGATTAGTTCGAAGATCATTTTCCTTTTCTTTTTGTAATAAAAACATTTTTTACTAACTATCAATTAGTAACCAAGGTCCTACTAAGATTACTATAAACTTCTGTAAGAACAACTACGATAATATGTAATATTATATGTAGGATAACCTTGACTCTTCAAATGAATGAGCAATTAATATCTTTTGTTACACGCTTATGACATTCTCCTATCAAATAAATGATTCTTTTTTTTCTTCTCCTCTCCTCTTTTTCATACCAAATAGATTATCGAAAGAAAAATGCTCTATTTCACACAAGATTGATAATAGTATTCAATACCTGGACTATGACGATTAATAATAGTTCCATAGTAATCTTGTGGTACAATAGGTGGTTGAGTAGGTTTAATTCGACCATTACTAATATTATTTATTGATGATCTTTCAAGACTAAGATCACGCATACGACAACGACGAGATGGTACAGAATGTTGACGAGATAATGTACTATCATCAGAAATCTAAATTTGCAAAAAAAGAAAATAAATTTTCTATTCGATGGAAAAAAAGTCAGAATTTTAATACGAACAGTTGTTATACGTGGATTTGTTTCTTCATAGATTTGCCAATTTGGTTTCTCAAATAAACTCGCTGGTGGAGGATCAAATGTATGTGCTGTTATTGCAGGTCGACAACTTTTTATTGGTTCTGGTGCACCAGTTACTGTTGCTGGATGTTTACAATTTGATGATATTTCAGGACGTTTTGCCCAAGCATTCAATGTCGAAGAAACAACTAATAATGGACTTGTACTTCCATCCATTTCACGCTAAATTTAAAAGATAAGCAAATAAAGATTTCGATTTCAAAATGAAATTAATAGTTTACTTCTGATTCTTCTAATGGGGATGGTGGCCGAGCAAAAAACTGTTCTTGAGATGTAAAACCTGAGTCTTGAGATGAAACACTGGATATACGACTTACTGCTACATTTGACTAAACAACAAAGAAAACAATTTTCAATAGAAAAGAAAAAAAATCGAAATTTATTTTTTCATACAGGCATTGATAATGATCGATTTGTATTCGAATGATAAAATTGATGTTGAATTGGTATAGATAATTGTGGTTGTTGATATTGCTGTTGTTGTTGTTGTTGTTGTTGATGATGATGATGATGACCTTGTTTATGATTTGGACTATGTACATTATTTAATGAATTTGATGATGAACTATTGATACTATTTATCGAACAAACACTTGATTTACGTGAACTTAATGAACTTGGTGATGATGGAGGAGTCTAGAACGAAAATATTATTTTTATTCTACTAATAATAATTTATTCATGATTCTATACTTTAAATGCAACAATAGTACTATAATCAATTCCTTTAACATCTTTAATAACTTGTTCACTGGATATTGGTAAACAATGTGGATCAATTGTATGTTTACTTAAACATTGAACAAGATCTTCAATATGACTCATTTCAGATGCAACTGAAATTTCAAGATCCTTCAAAAAAGAGAAATAACATTAATTAGTCTTTTTTTTGTTTTGTTTGTAAAATTTTACCATAACAGGTTTTAATAAAGTAAATAATGTACAAAAATGACTACGTTCTTCGATCATAGCTGATCTAAGTGCTTGTTTTTCACGTTCTTCTAACATTCCATAATAATTTGATACTTCCTGTATTGCTGAATTTAATTTATTATGTAATATATCATGTTTTGGTACTAATAAATTTTAATAGTAAGAATTTTGTTTTGACAAAAATTATATATCAACTTACATTTTCGACATTTCTTTTGTAATTTAACAGTTTCAGACGCTTTTTTACGTAGTTCATTACGTAATTTTTTATAATCTATCGATTAAAATGAATCATATATACATGATGATGACGAAGAAGAACAAAATCAAATTTTAATACCTTTAAGACCTTTTGCATGATCTTTATCTAATGTATTAGCAGATTTTTTCCAATCTTCAATACAATCATTTAATGGTTGAATAAATGTTTCAACTAGAGAATTTGTAAAATATTTTAATTTTTGTTCAATTGATTTATGACGTAATATTAAACGTGTTAATGCAGTACCAATATCTCTTGTTGCACCTTTGGTATTTGTTGCTAAATCAGCAATACGTTGAAATGCATCAAGAAAAAGACTGAAAGTAATGATTGTTGATCTATATGACAGACAAATAAAATGAGAAGAAGATAATAATGACATTGTATCGTAAATGTGTTAAGATAATTTATCAAATTATTATTCATTATGTCAGAAATAGTAAATATATCAAATAAAAAATTATTATTCAGTGACATTTATAAAAATAGAAAAAAAATTGAAGAGAGTTAGTTTGTAAATATCAAAATGACTAATTTCACATATACCCGTTTGCTGTCTAGCTAGTGTGTCGGTTAAGCTGAAGGGTATATATTATATACTGACCGACCATTCGTTCTTTCTCCTTCTCTTGTTCTTCTTCTTCTTTTTTCATTCATGTTAACTAATGAATGTCTAGTCTATTTACTATCGAACATCAGTAATCGTTCAAGTGCTAACGACTATAAGAGTAACTATTGTGACAGCTGAAACAAACTAACTTTCTCTCTCTCTTCACACACACACACAAGTATGACTTAGTATGCGTGCGTGTATATCATTCAATTATTGATCGTACTCATCAGTGAAAGCTATATACTCTATGATAGACATAAAAGAAAATCAGCTTTGTCTATAGTCAAAATAGCATTTCTTGTCAAATGCTTTTCCTGTTGATTCGATCAGGCAAATACAATGAATGTCTCGTGCATAAGACTATTCTGCTTCGTATAGTTCGATACGATTTTTCAAGGTTGATGAACCATAATTATATTAAACGTACTTGAGTTGAATATGCATTTTGTTGGCTTTTGATACCAAATCCTCCCATAATGTTGAACTGTTCTATAAAAAAAAGAAAAAGAAAAGAAGGTAAAACGATCATCTTTTACGCTACTGAATATAACTGATGCATATAATGATGAAGTCCTTGACATTGAAAGGTCTTCATACTTGTATGCATATTGTCACACATATGATTTTCTTCTTTAACTTTCTAACCAGAGGATAACAATTAAATCTTACTAACCTTCATTTCATTGACAATTCCTTGAAATAATGAGCCGAGTACGGCACATTCTTTCTCAGCATTTTCGATAATATTCATTTTTTTGAAATTAATTGTATATCATTATATGAAAAACGTGTATTGTGAATCGTGTGAATAAACGTGAGAGATAATAAAAAATAAAACGAGTAGATAATTTATGATTAATGATACGGGCAGTATACGGATTAAAGTTGATATTGGTGTAGCATAGTTTTATCTGTATCAATGGATCAGTTGGATATATTTGTTCAATAGATAGCATGCGTAGTAAAAGAAGAAGAAGACGATGTCATAATCGATCCAAGAAGAATGATTGTAATTGTTGTCGTCCAATTTCTTTTTTTTTACCTAAATCTATAGATACGAATTGCTGCTCGTTCGTACTATTTGTTGTCAGAGAAGAAGTAATAGATGTTCTCTACACACACGCCCGTCGGTCCTTTCTTTCTCTTTACTTCTCTTCTTTTAACCACAACCATCCGTTTTTCTCTTCTCTTCTATCACACACTTCTACTATATACTCTCCTTCTCGCTCGCTCTCTCTCTCGTTCATCTCGCATACGCATATGTCTCGTCGACGACAACGACGACGGCGGGATTTTCCTCCCTTTTACTATGTACGTCAAGAGGAAAACGAGGGAGGAGAAAAGAAAAAAGAACAGGAGGGAGACGTTGTTGAACAATGCTCTCCTCTTTCTCGATTGGTCAGCCTCATTACAAATTCTTTCTCCTGACCGACACACTCCATAGTCGATAAAGTTCCATGAGTAAAATCAGTAAGCAGATGTGTGTACATAGAAGTGTTAGTAGGGGTGAGAAACGGAAGAGCGTCCTCGTATTCTTTCTATCTATATTTTTCTTTTATTCTATATTCTTGTGATTACATCTCTGTCATTGATGTGAATAGAAAACATAAATAGATAAGAAAAAGAAAAGAAATCATCTATTTTTGTAATTGTTTGATAGTCCGAAGTTCATTAGACATTCAAAGTTTATACATATTTTGTATTCAAGTGTAAACGTGCCTTTTAAGTTTTTCTATTTAAAAACGTAGACAGGTGAATAATTGTTTTCATATATAAATACGTAATATGTCAGTAATACCAAAACGATTGATTAAATGATCAATGAAATAAAATGGTTGACTGATTAGATTCATCAGCATTTTACTTGAAACTCAGTCAAGAAACTATGTTCGTATGCGCTTCAACAATCAATTGTTATCCGCCACAATGACATTATTAGCCTTTGGGGGGGATATGCCATACGCAATACAGTCATTGTAATGCAATGAAAGCAAATGGATCTGTTACGTAATCAAGAAATAGATTGAATCTACATTACAATGGACATAAGAGAAGGGTATTTGGTGTATAATTTGTTCGCTTAGAAACAAAATAGATCGGATCAATTGTCGATAGAAAAGTTCTGTTTGTTAACGTACAAAATTTAGCAGATGGCTTTTGACTGTTTATAAAACGAAGGAGAAAACATTCTTTTTTTTGTTCTTTTATATTCTAAACAAAAAAAAGGAATCAAATGATCAAACAAATGTAATGATGTCTCAATCGGAACATTAAGAAGGTTATACTGACAATAGTCTCAGTCATCAAACGTTGTAATATTGATATTTTGTTTTGAATAGACGATTGTTCATGTAATAAGAACGAATTCATAGCATGAAATAATTGTTTGTTATGTTGAAAATTGCAAATACACAACAATAAAATATTGCTTCAATGAATTTTAAGAGAAATTTATTTGATTATTTCCGTTATAAAATGTATCAACTAAATTTGCGGATAGGTTTATTCTTCATGGACGAGAAAAGAGAACAAAATTTCTTCTAGAACTTGAGAAGCATTTGTCTGACAATAATTCTTCAAGTCACTCATAATTATAAATAAGAGTTTTAGAATATTTTCAATATCATAGATCATTCAAATACAACATTAGTGTCAACTGATGACACTAAGTTGTTATTAACATTTTCAAGACTATTCTTTATTTATTAGTTTCTCCTCTTCGCATATCGAATAGTTTTATATTGTTCCTTACTTATTCAATGTATAGCTTATTTTGATTTTGCGGTCGATTACTCTTATTGTTCTCTCAATCCTATTTTTTTATTATTGATTGCTATTAAAATATATAAAAAAATGTAGTCTAAGACTTTGTGCACCTTTATAAACCACAGAGATATATTGATGAAGTCTATTGATAATGAATATATTTGTATTTATATCCATTCATAAAGTATACGTTCGAGTAGACATGCTTCTACTTTCAAAAGCTTTGAAAAGTATTACTCTTGTCGATCGTCAATACAAGATCTAAAAAAGTTCGACCTGTTCAGATTATCGTTCTGGGTTTTTTTTCTACATGAATTGGAATACAATGAGATAATAGAATTATTATTTAATCACTAATACTTCGTTAACTCCAAGAAATATTATTTATTTTCAAGGATACAATTATATAAGCTATGATACATATTATTCGGACTTTTATTTTATAATGAACTTTATACCGTGTGTCTAGGAACTAAGAAAGGTAATACTTGTATGCTCAACAAAGAACTGATACACTATTTGTATTACATATGATATAATTCTTGCCGTGCGAGTTACATAATTATTACTTTTGCCTTAAAAAATCATGAAATAGCTACAGAAAGATAGAATTCCGCATGTTCGGATCGTATGACATGGACTTAAAATAATACTTAATATGTATAACAGATCATTCAGCTGGATTGTATTCGATTATTGATTTACGATAATATTTTTCTAACGCACGAGCATCATTATCACTCATAGTTTGCGAAGTATGAAAACAATTTTTTTGTTCTTACATATTTCTAGTGAATTGTTTGATAAAAAAATTGGAATGAGAAGAAGACAGAATAATTATTTCTTAAGTAAGATTAATTTCGTTAGAAAATAGATCTGAATAATTGATTACACATATATATATGTGAGAATGTTTGTCCAAGATGAAAAAAAGTACTTCCGAAAGTCGTGTTATGTGTTTTTCTGATTCGATAAGAAGGAAATCCTTGTTTCATTTAATTTATTCAAGCATCTCTTCTAGAACGAACTTTAAAATATTATTAGATTGAGAAACCAGATGGCATTCTATCCGAGATTAGTCTTTCTCAGACAAATATTATTAATCTCTACAGATGCAACTTATTGGAAGAAAATACGCTGTATAATAAATAAGTTAATGGGTAATACGACATTTTGTTATTTCTCTCTACATACACATATAATATATAGTGTCTATACGAACAATAATAAATTAAGATAGATAGAGATCTTCTAGACAAGATGAAAAAGATCACATTCATCTATTAATGTAAATATTTTGAAATTTAAATCTATAATTATTTTACTCCAAAATGTGAATTAAAATTTTTTCGTTGATCAATATATTAATTAAAAGTTTTTTACTAAGTAATCATCTATTTCGAAAACAATAAAAAAAACCATGCTTTTTTTCAAGTATTTTATTTGTAAAAGAAAAAAAAGAAGAAAAAGAAAACAAAGTAGTAAACTTAAGGTGTTCTGCTGATTGAGAACAAAAAAAAGAGAAAGTGAATCGAGAAGAAGAAAGACATTAAGCTGTTCTTCGTTTGTTCGTTCGTTTATCGTTGCTTGGCATCCGAACAAACATAGATTGACGATAGAAGTTGTAAGCAGCAAACATAACAGAATATTTCTTTTTTTTTATCAATGGCATCTAAGGTAAAACAAGCTTTAACACATGATCAATTATGGGAAGTTTTAACTGATACACCAGCAGATACACCAGAAATTGTACAACGTTATCGAAATTATACATCACCAAATGTATCTCAACCTCGAGTTCATCCTGGACGTGCATATGACCCAACACATCGTAACGAAACACATGGTGATCAAGCAAATTTAGGTGATGGAAAAAATGGAGAAATAATTAATCCAAAACCTATGACAAGTTTCGAAAATCGTTTATATAATTTAAATGAACTTGTTTATGAAAGAAATAGAGAAAGACTTAAACTCGAAAAATTATTACCAACAACAGTTGATAAATATAAAACAACATTTGGAAGACCATCAGAAGCAAGTGATAAAGCAGGAGATATTGTTAATCCAAAAAAATCACATACACAAATTGAATTTGAATATGAACAACCACGTAGCATGTAAGATAATACTTCTTTTTTTTTTATATTTTCAATATTCGAACTTTTATTTTGTTTTTTTAGGTATGTGTTCAGTCATAAAGATTTTGAACCAGGTGAACAACTTGAACGTAATTATTATGGAGGTGATATAATTCGTAATCAAGTTCATGGTGTTCCAACACCAGTTTATGCTGATGGTCGTCATGCACGTGAAGCATTAATATGGCAACGATCAAATTATTCAACACCAGTTGTATCGCAAATTGTCAATGAATTTGATGAGTCTCGTAGTGATAATGCTGCTATACGTACACGTCGTTTTCTTGCTGAAACTGGTTTACCAATCGATCATCGTTTTGGATTAGTATCAGGAGCTGATCGTTTATCAGCTGGTGAAATCATCCATCAACGTGCCAATGTACCAGCTACATTTGATGAAAAATCTCAAGCTGCCTTATCTAAATTACGTACACAATTATGTTCACTTCATATTCAAACATTTAAAACACAATTACAAGCATTTCAATATTATGATACAAATCAAGATGGTCTTATATCAATACAAGAATTATTAAATACAATCGTGAGAAATTTTAATCTTCAAGTATCGGATAGTGTTATTGATGCATTAATGTTACAATGTGATCAAGATCGTGATGGAAAATTAAATTTTCTTGAATTTAGTAATTTTCTTTGCTATCGTGTTGGACATACAAGTGGTCTTGAAAAATTTATCAATGATGAAAAAAATAAAAATAAAACTACTCCATCATTTGGAATGATTAAAGATAATCAAGGTCGACCAATAATGAATATATCGGATCTTGTTGAAGGTAAAGATGGAAAATATTATCCACGTAAACTTGTTTCACAAATTGATGAAATGGTACCTGATGGTTGGAAAACAAGTTATGATAAAATAAATGATGCACCATTACGTCTTGAACCAGTCGTTAAACGTCAATATGGTTTACCATCAGTTGTAGTAAATAATCAAAGATATGCTATAGCAAAACCGAATACAACAAACCGACCACCATATGGTTCGAATACAATTGTTGGTGCTTTATTAGCACCATCAGTATGGAGTGATCGTGGTTTAACTGAAGATGATTTATTAGTACCAAAAACAATGGAAGAAATGCGTGATATATTTGCTAATGCAAATGTTTATGTATCTGGTGAAGATTTCGTTTATGCATGGACAACAGCAGCTGCTACGAATGAATATGGACAAGTTAGTGTAGCAACATTTAAACAAGCACTTGATGATAAAAATCGTTCATTAGGCAATTTTGAAATTGTCTATAAATAATGAGCTTATTTTTGAAATATTTATATAACATTTAGTTTGAATTTTTTCTATTTTTTTGTTTTTGCATCAGAAAAAATATTACTTACATTGAATGATGTACAAAGAAAATACAATGGATTTTATTTTGTGAACAATGAATGATAGATATGAGTATTATTCAAAACTCTTCATTTCATTAGCTCAGATTATTTTTGTTGAGAATATCACATAAATTAATCGATTATTATCAATACAAGAAGAAAAAAACATTTTTTCCTATTTTTCATTTGTCCTATTATAAACATTATTCTATTCTTTAATAAAAACAATAATATTATCATCATTGATTGTCACTAAAAATTTCAGATTTACATAAATCAAATAATGACTCAATGCTGTCATACGATTAATTTTGTTGATATATAGTAATACAAAATCTTTTAGCTCTTGTTAAATACGATAAATCATGCATTCGTAGTGATTCAGTTAATAGAAAAAAACAATTTCATTGTTATTATAAAGGTGCGGGATCGAACAGTACATTCTTATTAATTAATAGGTTTAGATTGACATGAGGATAGTATTTATTTATTACTTGATAAATACAATCTTCTATCGTATCTTATTCATATAAGAGGTATTTCTTGATAGCTACAATCATCAATGACCACCTGTATGTTACGTGACACTTGATATTATTGCATTTGATCTTTACGAAATTCTCTAGTGAAACTCCGTATGAATAATAGAACATTATATATCACATCGTATACGTCTCCTATGTACACATATAATTAAATGAACATAATTTTGAATTCAATCGATAAGTTTTCTTTAATTCACGATTAACTATTTATTACTACTACTACTACTGTTATTCTAGTTTCATCAGAATGAGTTTTATGTCATAAAACTCAATAATAAAATCAATCAATATTAATCTCAAAAACAAACATCAACGCAATGGTTCATTAAACAATAGCTCTGATAATAATATAAAAACTTGACTGAGATATTATTACCAATTTTTATCTTATTGTTTACTTGAAAACATAACATAGTTAAATTGTAATTGTATAAAAAGAAAAAAAGATATTTAATGAAACACAAAATAGAAACAAAGACAATCTTAAGATAAAGTTGATCGAGGCATTTTTTCAGCAAATAAACGATATTTATCGAATTTTTTTTTCTTAGTTCCATTTTCATTTATAGATGATGAAGGTAATTCAGTTGGAGCTGTTGAACAAGCAAGCATTTTTTCTAATGAAGCTAGAGGATTTTCATTTGATTTTGTCTGATTTAATAAAGATAAATTTGTCATATTTTGATCATTATTTTCATCGTCACAATTATTATTTAAATCAATTTGTGTTCGTCGATTTAAAGTATTTAATAGTGTTGTTGTTGGTGTTTGTTTAATAACAAAATTTTGTAATAATGATAAAGCATTACCATTTGTTGTTTCATCTTTTGAAGCAATACGATCAAGTAAATCAGATGTAACACGTTCAACATCTTTATCAATTGATGATCGAGATTTTGGTCTTTCAGATCTGAACAAAAACAAAAAAATTATTGATCTAAATATTCATATAAAAAAAATAAATATTACTTTATTTCAGTAATTAATCGTTTTTGTGATACTTTACTACATTGATTAATAAAATAATCTCGATTTTTATTTGTTTTACCATTTCTATGATGCATTTCTTTTAATAAATGTTCTTTATAAAGACTTTCATTTTCAAAATACATTCCACATGTTGTACAATTAAAACGTATTTGATGTAAACGTTGTAAATGATCAACAAGATCAACTTCACGTGCAAATTGTTGAGAACAAACAAGACATGTTGAACGTGACGATAATTTCGTTGGTGATTGTTGTTGTTGTTGCTGCTGTTGTTGTTTGAGACTTGAATGTTGATATGAACTCGATGATGATGATGATGGTGATGGTGAAAATTGTGTAAAATGATTTGTTTTCATCATATGTGCTGTTAAATCAGGTAATGTTTCAAATGATAATGAACAACGAAGACATTTTAATATTTGATTAGCTGGATTTGTATCACGTGACAACCAAATATCTTGTCCACGAACAAGTTTAGCAACTTCATCATGTGTTGAAGATAATTGTGCACTATGATTTGTTATTTTAAGATGACTAACAAGTTGTGCAACATTTGAATATCTTTCTCCACATGAACAAGCATAAGATTCATGTTTATTTGTTGTAGAATTATCTCTTATTAAACGAGAAGGAAGTATTGCAGATTGTTGTTTAGTAGATTTGGATGGTTCAACTTTCAAAGGTTGTTGCAGCTGCTGTTGTTGTTGCTGTTGGCAATAAACATTTAAATTTGCCAAGAATAGATCATAGAATAAAGCAGATGAATTGAAGAATAAATTTGTTGGATTATAGAGAGGAACTGTTGGTGTAGATAAGGAATATTGTGAAGATTGCTGTTGTGATTTAACAGATAAATCAAGTGGAATTTCACTATCATGATGATTACGAGATTTTTTCTTCGTTGATAATTTATCGTCATTGACATCGACACGTTTACGTTTAATACGTAAATCAATAGGTGCACTGCTATTGTCTGTCATTCTATAATAAATAAAAAAGTGAACAGCAAAAAGAAAAAAAAGGAGGCTTTTCTTCTTCGTTTCTTTCCCTTTTCTTTTTCTTTTTTTTTTTACAAATCATTCGTGTGAATGAGTGATGGATGGGTTAATGTCGGAGGGAAAGAGAACAAAAGCAATGCTTACCGCCTTACACATATATATTTTTTGATTGATAGGAATAGACAAATCTATATATTATATTTAATGTGATGCGAGCAAAAAAAATATATTGAAGTAACAATCAATCTTAAAGGTTTATGATAGATGTGAATATATATCTAGCTGAACATTTGAAAAATCTGAAAAAAAAGAAATAATGAAAGAAGTGTAGCGCGTCACATTGATTAACTTAGACTGTCAATCAATGTCAATCATTAGAATATATATATACGTGATAGTGAAATACAAACGAAGTGCAATTTGTTCCACATGACTGATACGAAAGAAAAAAACACTAACTCTAGACACACAGGTGGACTTTAATCCTTAGATGTATATATACATATGCTATTATCAGAAATATGGTTGAAGTAAACGAAATAAGATAGGGATAGAAATGAAGATGAAGGAGAGGGAGAGAGAGAAACAAAGAATGAAACAAAAATGAGGTGATTGTTTGATGAATTGATTCGATGACGAGTGGTATGTAGTAGTTTTATTTTTGACTGCAACTCAGCAGAATATCATTAGTCTATGAAAGCAGTACGATCCGACAACGACTGTAGATACTGACAGGTTGGCTGCCTGTTTTGATCTAAATGTTGATGAAGATAAACGAGCTCGATTTGTCGCGCAATGCATATATATATAATACACGTCACTCATCTAAATGACAAATAACAATAGAAAATGACAACGATGATCATCATCTATCTTTCTAATCGTAAAAAAAACTCTAGACTTTCAATGTTTACAATAAATATGATTTCCATTATCATTATTATAAGAAATCAAAAAGAAAATGTAGACGATAAAGAATATAAACGTCAAAAATCAGATGATCAAAGTGTGAATTTAACTGATGTATATATATATATATATATAGAACATTGAAAGATTGATCGTTGGATGATATTATGGATCGATTGTCATTTTTTTCTCGAGCGATTATATGAGGAAAAAGAAAATCAAATGAAATTTATCTGAAGCGTATCATCATCATCGTATCTGTTAGTATAGTGACTTCTCGTTTTTTATAAGCACGCATACAGATCATTTATATATATACAGACGACAAGAACACTTCATCATCTATTAGACACAACGATACGTCCTGCAGCTTCTCGTCAGTATGAGTAGGATGAATGGGCAATTAGATGTGACACGTACGTAGGCATATATTTGATGAATGAGATGTCGGCATAAATGTTCGAATTGAAGCGTTGTTGTTCAAATGGCAACGCTTGATGACAATGTGAAAGATGACTTTTCCAAACGAGAAAGAAAGAAATAAAAGAGCATAAATGAAACTGAACGAGACACGAGGAGAGTTTTTTTTTCTCTTTTTTTTTTTTTTTGATTTATGAGCCATCATTATAATTCAGATGCAATAAATCAGACATAACATGCTCGCAAACATTAAAGTGTCATCATTCTACTGTTCAGTTGACACCATCAAGAAGAAATGGGAAAAAAAATGAAAAAAAGAACAAGATAGATCATAATAAGTTGAAAATTTGTGTATGTCAAACAGAACGATAAATGTCAAATTTTGTAGACCTATTCCCTCCTCCCCCGGTTATAAATGATCGACTGCTTAACGAATTTGAGCTTCATTCGTCCGTCCGTTCTATACAAACCCAAATATATGACAACAGAATTTGATTGATGTTGACAGATCGCGCTGCGATTTCTCGTTCTCGCTCTCTCTCTCTCTCTTTCCTCCTTTTTTTTCTATATATGTCTCGTCTTGCTCGTTTACTTGTCAAGTCAACGCAAACTATATTCAATCAAAACAGTCAAAAGACAAGTCTCTATTCGCTCTATGCATTTATGAGAAACGCGTGATCATGATAAAAATGAACATATATTCACATACACACACACACACACATCTACTTTAATGTTAAATGTAAACATGACTTCTAAACTAATCAGATAGTGAAAGATATTTTATGAGTTCAACCAAGAAAAAAATAAAATAAAGAAAAATGTAGAATTCTCTTCATTACATGTGATAAATGAGATACGAAACAGGGAAGATTACATAAAGTAACCATTTGTTATATGTCATTATAATGGTATGACAACAGGTGAAAAGTTAAAAATCTAATCATCAATCATATATAATAAAATATTAGGTACGCACAATATGGCCATATAAAAAAAAGTAAAATCATATTACATCGACTTTAAATTGTAAACATATTAGTTATACATTAAAGCCTGATATTCTTTCTAAATATGAATGAAGTTACAATGCTCGTTTCCGAGTTGAAAATAAATCAATCGAAATTCAATACAAAATAGATCTTTGTGTTTTAATATGATTTCTATGATCTATTCTATAAAAAGATATATCATCAAGAAAGAAAACAGAAATCTCTTTCAAAATTATGAATGATAATTCAACTCGAAGCGTATTTGAATTTTTATATAATCCGATTGAAATATTTTCATTGAATAATTTATTGTCTCACGTTTTTATGAAGTTAATATAATCTTAGATCAAATACTTCAAAACTATTTATGTACATCTTCATAGAGCGTTACCGCTATTTTTTCGGATTTTGGCTCTACAGCAAGAAATTTTCCAAAATTTTTAAATAAAGTGATTATTCCTAGAAGTTTAATTGTAGATCAACTTATTAATCATTTGAACGTCAATAATTCGATAAAAGTACATTGATTTTTACTGAAATGTTTATAGAACTAACAGATTTACCAATAAGCAATTCTTTTAATTTCGTTTCATCGAGATTCATTCTCATGAGTCAAATACTAATTCGATGAACTCTACTGATGACTATAATTAGTACTAAGGAAAAAAAGCATTATTTTCATCTATGAAAAGAACATTCCGTATATATTCTTAATATAATTTTCATAATATACATCGTCACCGACGCACACATAGACACCGACAAATATTATAATTACTAAGTAGACGAATGTATATAAAAAAAAAGAGAGAAAAAGAAGTAAAGAAGTCGAAGAAAAAAAAGGAAGCGAAAGATAAATTTTTTTAACAGTTTTGATTAAGAAAAAGAAAAGACAAAGGAATTATTACAGATAATTTAATAAGACATAGAGAACGGCGGCGGATTACATAATATCAAACTCAACATAGATTGAGATGAAAAATAGAAGTGCAGGACACATTGGACCAGCACATATATATATATAAAGAAGTAAATTGAAAAAAAAATACAGAAGAAAGAGAATATTGTATTACACACAACATGAAATATAAAGAAATATGAATAAGTAACATTATTAATAAATATAAGGACACACAACCATAGCAGCAACAGAGGAGAAATTTTACTGACCAGCAGTGTTTCTATTAAAGAATACTTATTGTGAATAGAGTGAAACTCGACGTTCAAGTAATGTTTTAATATCTGAACGTTTGACAAATGGACTTATTGATACATCTGGATAAAAGGCAAAATTCCATATAAATATTGGATCACGTGGATCAATATCACGACCTATAACGAAAGTAAAAATAAAAACCTAATTTTTCTTAAAATGTTTTTTCTTACCATCAAATGATGTTGTCGTTTGATTATTATTAGCATCAACATTTGATCCATATAATTTAAGAATTTTATCACCAATGAAAATATTTAATGGTTGTTGTTTATCATGAATATTTTTTCGATAATTATTTTCATCTTCTTCATCATCATCATCTGAATATGATAATGGTAATGTTGCTGAAAGTATCGATGGTGATAAACAATTCGATCGTTCCGATGATGCACGACTTGATGGTCGATCTGATTGTGAATGATAATCACTTGTTGAACAAGCTAATGTAAATGATGATGCATCAGGATTTAATGTTGATGTTGAATATTTTATTGGTTCAACTGTTAATAAAGGTATATCATCATTAGTATTAGTATTACTATTATTAGTAGTATTAGTAGTATTAATTGCTATTGGTATCGGTATCTTTTTTGAATGATATCGACATGATGATGTACGTGGTGATTTTGGACTAATTAAAATTTCATTTTGTGCATATTCAACAATCATTGGATAACCATTTAATTGTAATCCATTACAAGCATTTAATGCTTGTTGAGCTTCTTCATTTGTTGAAAATCTAACGAAACCATATCTTTCACGTACTTTAACACATTCAATAATTTGTCCATATGTATGAAAAATTGATTGAAGATGTGTACTTGTTGTATGTGTAGCTAAATTACCAACAAATAATTTACATGTTGTTTGTTTAGAATTTGACGAAATATTTATATTTAATTTTTTTGTCGGATTAGATATTGTCTTTGAAATAAACATTATTTTATATTATATGGATGTGTGTATATGTCTACGATTAAAAGATGGAAATGAAAGTGGATAACAAGGATAGGAGGGATAAAATCAAGTGGACAGAGATGAATCAAGGGAGAACATATGTGTATGTTAACAACACGTGTTATATTGTTTTCTTCTATTTGTTTTTGTCTATAGGCTTTTGTTCGTTTTCGTTTTGAACATATCAAGTGCATTCGTCGAATCAAAATTATTTTATTTTTCTTTCTAGTAGAAATAATACAAAGAAAAATAAATGAATTCGTTTACTTTGTTTGTTTCGTTCATATTTAATATAGAAGTTTATCGATTCATATAAATATTGTTTATGTATTCTCACACCAATTTAAACCATTTTGATATACTGAATTAATGAGTGTTAAATGTTTTGTGTGTTACAGCCATTTTGAATAGAAATTAGAAACGTATTAATTGTATCTTTGTTTTTATATTTCTTCTTAGAAAACTTGAATAGTTACATTGTGACTATTGAAAATATATTCCGAATTAAAATTTATGTGCTTAAGAAGAATATAATTGATGTTTTTTGATCTTCTTTATTGATTGATAATTGAATAAGTTGTAACTTTCTAGTGTCGTATGATTTCATTATCTAGCTAGGTTTGTTTTACTTACAAGTTGAAAACTGTCCTTTAGTTGATGTTTTGTTACAAAAATATATGATATATTTTACGAGCATATGAAATCTGATTATTAAAAATATTTTCAGTACCTCTGACTAATTTCGTTTGAAAAAGAAGATGAAAAATCAGTATACTTTTTAAAATTCTCTTATTGAATATTAAACAATAAAACTGATCAAAGCATATCAATGAATTGATTAATTATAATTAAAAGAATAACATCAGAATGTATACTAATGAGTGAAATATGTCGAGGTATTCACTGTTATCTTATAAAAAAACATATATGACCGTATGAAATTTATCGTACTGATTTTGAATAATAAAACTCTAGCATTATTTAGATTGTCGTAGATACGCTAATATGACTACTAGCTCCCTTTTTATCCTCTCGACTGTAAGGAGGATCATTTAAAATAAAATAGTTTGTGTTTGTGTCGGGGTCAAAAGAACGTCGAAGGTAAAAGACATATATGAGTTATAAAAACTTGATCAGTCGATTTTTTAAGTCGAGAAATCTGAATCTGAGGTCCGTTTTGTGAGAATCAATAGAAATCGAGTTTTAGAGACAAGGCATTTCTGTGGATACTTTAATATTCTCTTTTTCGTGGGGATGTTTGCTGGAAACAGAAATTGTTTGTTTTCTTACTTATATTAGTTTTCACACTGTCCTAATTGGTTCAAGGTTAGTCTAAAAATATATTGATTTTGGAATTTCAAACATGACTCCATATGCGTGTACTACTAATTAGCAAGTGAATATGTGGAGAAAGTGATGAAAACCAAAGGGATCCTATTTTCAATGAATGTGAAGGGATAGCGTTTGCACGAGAAAGAGGTAAGCGAGTTAATAGTCGATCATTACTTGCTTCATAAATATGAAACTTTCTGTGGTATAGAGAAGGGCATATAAGAAGTGAAGCGTTTGTATCTATTTATCTATATGTGTATTGGTGTCATTCGATGCCAAACTCTTGTAAAGCGTGGCTAACAGATTTTGATAATAGGGCATCCGAATTTAGCATTGTTTAGTTGAGAAAGTGATGATTTCTTATAAAGTGTCACCAGCGGTTTGGGAGTGAGAAATTCGAATCTACTATGTGATGTTCGCTTCGTTTTCAAACGAAAGGTTTTGATCCGAAAGACGACTTCGGAGGAAAAGAATGTGAACGTTACTGTTGACATGAGTAGGAACACTACATTCATGACACCAGCAGGTGCACCGTTTATTTTCACAATATCATTAGAGTGATTAATTTAATTGCTTCATCGTATCTATCTAACTATTTAAACAAACGCTCTTTAAAAAAATATAGCTTAGACACGAAGAAAGAGGCGTATGGTGAGAAAACGAGAAGTAATGTTAGAATATGTTATGTCTCCCCTTAAAAGATATGGCGAAAGAGTTGAACTCAAAATTTTATGAGCGTCATCTGATGGTCAGTAGGTCAAGATTAGCCGTCGTTAAACGAATGTCCTCAACGACTGCTACCTATGATTATATTTTTCTAGTAGAGAGCCAGCGATGTTTGCATCGCGTTACTTGTTTTGTAAACGAGAGATCTAGATCCTACTGATACTGTCATTAATTTCTTCAATAAGGTAAAATTATATACATATTTTTATTCTCCAATGTAATTTAATGATCCATTCTCATAAATCTATAGAAAATCTATTTCAATATGACTTGAAACAAACTTAATGAATATCAATGTTTTCATGATAGTATCAACCGATAAAACATTTAAAATAAAATCTTTAAATGATATTGTAACTATCAATGACAATAGTTACAATCATCATATTGCTTGTTTAATAATTTAACAATATTTGTTTTTCGTTTAAAAAAGTTTCTTTTTTCCCTTCTATATTGTACTTATAAAAATGAGAAATCTTTTTACTTTTCTTATAACTCAATATGCATCTTCGAACTACAACATAGCGCAAAACAAAACAAAAGAAGAAAAAAAAATAAGTAAAGAAAAACTACTGTAGAGCAAGATTTAGGACATAATGAGAAAAGAAATGAAGAAGAAATCACATAGCACACACTCACACAACAAAATAAAATAAAACGTGAAAATGAAAGTAAAAATTTTTTTTCTTATCTATCTATCACTCTCTATCTCGCTATTTTTTAATATCTATTATGTATATATATATATAATATGTATGTATATATAGAACTAGTAAATCAATTTTTTTTAAACAAGCCGATGTTGTTGTTGTTTAGCAAGAAAAGCCACAGGATCAAATGGCATCGGTGTTGGTGTTGGATACAGTTGAGTATTAGGTGGTGTAAAATGATATTGCAGATGATCAATATTAAATTGTTGAAGATTACTAGCAAACATTGCTAGTTTTTGATCGAATAATGTTGCTACTAATAATGATATTGGATCATTTGGATTTGATGGCAGTGATGATGACGATGATGATGATGTCGGCTGTGGAAGTGATGGGGGTGGTGTTTCTGGTTGTTCTTTCGTTGAAATTGATATTTGTGGAGATATTGTTGTCATTATATTCGGTGGAGGTGGTGATGATGATGATGAAGCAGCAGCTAGGGATGGATATGAAGATACATTTGCTGATTGATTAGTCTTACTGCGTTTTCGTGGTTGATACTAGAAAAGAAAAGAAATATTTTGTATAAAAAATTTATTTAAAAAAAACAAATTGATCTCAATTAAAGAATATAATCTTTCTTTGGTAACTAAAAATTTCCCCTAAGACGTTATCAAAAGTAATGAAATTTGAATAGAATAATTTTAATAAATCTCCTTATCTGAAAAAAAAAACTTCACAAAAAAGAAATATTTATCGATCTATACTTCATATAAATGTGTATCGATTGTTTTTGGGTATTTTTATTCTACTAGATAATACTAACTGATTTCTCACAGTATAAATACGTAAAACATGACTAGTTGTGTGAAGTGATTAAAGTTGAAATCAATAATTACTTTGTAAGTAGGATATTGCCGTGCGTGAAGATGTTTTAATCGTTCAGATTCTTCCATATATGGTTGTCGTTCACGTAATGACATTCGTTTCCATTTGGCTCCACAACATCTAATATATTTATATGAAATAAAATAAAATAAAATCGATTGAAAATAAAAGTATTTTTACTTACTTGCTAATATCGGCATTAGGTAAATGTGGTGCAAGTTGAACCATTTTTCGACGTTCAATTTGTGAGAAAACCATAAATGCATTCATTGGTCGTTTAACATGACCAGGACGAACACGTTTCTTTGGTTGTGTACGTGTTGCATCGGAATAGGGTGTTGGTGTTGTTGGATCAATAAGTGCTGAACCGAAAAATATTGGTGGTGAATCAGCATTTGTATTTGATGATAATAATTCTAATAACATATGATAATCATCTGGTCTTAATGCTCGACAATTTATTTGTGGCCATGTAACAACAACAGATGAATTTGTATTTGTATTTGTTGAATTATGAACAGTTAAATCAGGTGATGATGGTGATGGAAGTAATGATGAAGAATTTGCTGATACACCATAACTATGATCATGTTGTAATGGTGAAAATGATGTTGGCGATGAGAGAGTTGATGTTGATGTTGATAGATTTCGATGAAAATCAGCAAATGAAGGTGATGATGATGATGTTGTTATCATTGTTGTTTCATCAAGTATGGATTCATCTTTTTGAAATACATCAAGATGATGATGATGATGGTGATGATGATGATGATGATCAGAAAATAAACTTGTTGCATCCATTATGGAAGGTAAGACTAAAATTAATATTTTTTCAAATATTATATTTATGAAATAAAAAATAATATTTCATATACCAGATTCTGATGGTTGTTCAGTTCTGACTTTGGTAAAGAGTCGATTTGTTGAAACAATTCTCAATGGTCGTCCATTACTGTTATGACTATTATTCTGAGGATCGATCGACGTCGACAACATTCTTTATGCTTTTCCTTTTCTATTTACCATCATAATACGCACCGAAGCTAGTTTGTTCGTTACAATCTATACGAAATTCTATTTTCTCGATAACGTCGACAAGAAGAAAAAAAGAAAAATAACGTAGACATTAAGTTCAACGTGTCATTCTCTATGTTAACTAAATATAGATCGAATTAACTGGACTAGCAACAATAAAACACACGTGGCTTGTTTTGAATATATATTTTGATCATCGCACTTTCTCCTATAGATGTAGACAAAGAAAAGTGATATACAATATATATATATAGATATACATATTAATAAAAATTATTTTGTAAAAAAAAATTAATTCATGAATATTATTGAAGAATATTTTTGGAAAGCTACGATGGCTTTTCAAATGAATCGTTTAAATGAATCTTGTGAATATATTTGCCAAGCTATTGAACAACATGATCAACCACACTTGACATTAGAACAATTAGAACTTATTTGGTGTGTTATTCCAAGTATGTATCGATGATAAACTTATTCTTTTTATTTATATTATAGTTTAGAATATCGTAATTCATCATAGGGCATAATGAATGGATATCTACTAACTTGAAAATATTTTTTTATAGACGAATTTTCTTTAATTTTTTAAGTTTCTCTTTCATAGTAAGAATAAATAATTTAAGATAGACTAATTGAATTGATTTCCAAACTCTCAGCCGGTTAGAATCGTGATATGAGAGCGAGGTCGGTATGAGAAAAACGAAGATATGTTCCCTGTAATGATTTAATAGCTGATCTTGTTAGTAAACGCTAGTCAAATATCGATAATCATCTCCTCGATTAGTGAAAATATTACCATATAAAAACGTTAAGTATAGATAAAGTGTAAGAATAATAAGAGAGAGGTAGACTAGTTCCTTACAATTGGAAACATTTGTATTTATTCTTATATTATAAGCAAATTACTGATTATTTTCTTGACTTCACTATATCCGTAACTTGTTATAGTGATGAACTTTTTCTCATATTTCAAGTTTCCCACATGATAAATAAACCTATAGTACATTTTATTATCTTTCGATTGATTCTGGTTAGTTCACAAAACAAAATCATCCTATTTCATTTATGTATACAACAACTAGAAACCGAATCATAATCTAATATATAGCCTAAACATTTTTTCAAGTAGAATGCATACTGGAAAGAATATAACTTATTGTCTTTCTTTAGAAATTATTACAAATAATACGAAATCTATTGAACATCTTGTTCATTATCATCAACGTATGCCAATTGAAACTGATGAATTATTTGATCATTTAATGCAATCTTATGTAAATCAAATCGAAGAAAATCAAGCTAAATTTTGTTTAAAACTTATAAATTGTTTTGATAAAAATCTTATTCAAGATAACAATGATATTGATCATATACATCTTCAATGTCTTCAATCTGATTTATATCTTCAATTATCCTATGTATCACGTCCATATCAATCTCAAATATATTACAATAAACATAGAAAATTATTAAACGACAATGAACATTTAATAAATATGTACAAAAATATGTCTAGAGATAATTAATTATTTGTTTTTTTCTATTTCATTTAAATCTTTAATTAAATTTGAACGACCAGATGATATATGATCCGTTATAATTTCTCCATAGAGATCGCGATGAAGTAATTTATATGCAAGTGGTAAAAGTGTTAGAATACGTGTATGAAGTTTTGATGAACCATATAAAAATAAATTTAAACCAAATTCTAAACCTTCACCATAATCACATTCATCATTTGCAAATTGGATACATGTTATTACATGTTGTAAATCATCTTCAGCTGTTTGACAAAGTTCTTCCGATGAACTATTACAAAATTTATCACAAATTTTTTTAAATTGATCTAAAATAATTTAACCGAAATAGATTAGCTAAAAAAATTTATTTATATTTCTAACCTTTAGTATATGGAACAGGACGATAACCAATATCGTTTTCACAAGGAACTACCATTCCTAAAGAATTTAATAATGTACAATTGACTTTTTTCTTTCGTGCAGTTATTTTTGATGTTGTTTCTTCTAATGCAAACTTATGTTTCTTTGCAAATGTTTCCAAATCAGATATAAAAGTTTTTAAATCAGATTTATCACTTGTTTTCAAACTATGACGAGCATATGAACTAAATCAATTAATAATGATGATTCTATTATTTGAACATATTTCATATTTACTGAATTGCAGCAAATATATTGTCACCACAGATTTTAAAATGATTATTTGTATTTGAATCATTAGAAGCAAGAAATGATGGTAATTCATCAGGTGAATCTCTAAATAAAAGATTAGATATATATGATTTTCTCCTTCGTTGTTCAGATTCTATTGACGGCTATATGGATAATTTATTGCAAGGCAATTACTAACCTGTGATAGCCAATATGAAATTGACTTTGTTTATCAAGAGTTCGAATGACAGTCATAAACTCAGGCGTATCATAATAATAGCGATAATGTAAATTCATATTTGGTAATGTTTTGCATGTTGTTAAAGCACCATCAAGAATTTCAAATGGACCAACTAATTCTATATTGAGTAGATTTTTTAATACATCTAAATAATAAATAAAATATGATGATTTTACTTTGAGATATATGTTAACTGAAACAGAAAAAAAGTTCGATGAATATATTTCTTACCACGTGGATTTTTCTTGTTTATATTTGAGCAAAAATTCCAAAATTCATGAAGATCAGATGGAAATTTCATTTGATAAAGCTCTGAAAGTAATTTTTCACCGGTTAATTCTGTCAATTCCATTAAACTTATGGTAGTATTGTTCGATGTTGTTGTTTGTTTGACTGGTGAGGATGAAGATGAGTTTGGTGCTGATGTTTCTTTTTTTGATGACGATACAGAAAAGGAGATTGTTGGTTCAGCTGTTAAACTATCATCATCATCATCATTATCATTTTCTATTTCTTTTTTATCATTTGATGGATGACGATAATCACGTAAATGATCGGGATGTTTTCGATAACATTTCGCACCATATCGACACAAAGGACGTGTTGATTGAATAAGTTTAATTTTTTTAGTATTATTAGTTGGCGATTCGTCTGTATCAGATAAACGTTTTCGTTCAGTCATTCTTTAATTTATCTTTAATATAAGTTTAATGTACAGTAAAAAGACGTTTTTATTGTGTATTTTATGTAATTTCATTGGATGAATGAAATTTTAATTTTTAGCGACCTCTGAAACTGTTCTTTGTTAAAAAATTTCATTCGACAAATGAATCGAGATTGATATTGCACCAGAGTTTTGTAATGATACAATTGATATACAAAAATCGAAATGATTTTGATTTTCTTTAGATATTCAACATGTCTATTGTAGAATTGATACCAATAGAAAAAGGCAATCGTCTTATACTTGATGAAACTACTGTGACAACAATAGGTCGTACACCAAATATTGGTTGTTTGGATAAGAAAATTTCTCGTAACCATGCCGAATTATATATTAAATCAGATGGAACAGTATGGATAAAACCTATTCATCATAATCCAACATTTTATAGAACAAAAGAAAATCAATTAATTACGTTGACAAAAGATCAAGAATTTCAATTAAATGATAATGATGAAATAGGTTTATTACCAAATGAATATTTTTATCGTATTTCAGTTAAACCAAAAGATGAAGAAGAAGAAGAAAAAAGAGAAGATTCATCGGCAATATCAAAATCACCAATACATGAAGAAGAATCTTCACCAGTCAAAGATTCATCAGTGAACGAGAATGAATCTTCACCAATTAAAGAATCACCAGTAAAAGAGAATGGATCTTCATCACCAGTACATGAGGATGAATTTTCATCAATTGAAAATCATAATGAAAAAACAACTCCTTCGAAACATTCAAATATCGAACCAGAAGGTGGTGTAATATTACATACATCTCGTGCATTACCAGTATGGATGTCTACACGTTCAGTGCCAGAATCAAAAAATGCTAAAGGACGAGGCAAGAGTAAAACAGTTCCTACTCCTACGAAAACTACTCCAACACCATCACCATCGAAATATCGAACATGTGAGTTACTTAATATTATCATATTGACACAATCGAATACATATATCTTTCTGATTATTAGACATTGGACGAGAGAAAGTTAGTGAAATCACGTACGATGATGATGATGATGAAAAATCGAATGATGTACCTTCTACTACGACAGCTACTTCAACAGGTTAATTAAACTTTTTAAAGATATGATTATTGACTATGACTCTTATATTATAGATCAAAATAATCAAACTTCATCGGTAATTGCTAAACCAGTTAAACGAGAACGTTGTCCATATGGCAAGTTTTGTTATCGGAAAAATCCAGCTCATCGACAAGAAGCTATTCATCCTGGTGATCCAGATTGGGATAATAAAGAAAATGATACAGATAATACAAAACCTGAATGTCCTTATGGAAGTGATTGTTATCGAAAAAATCCTGACCATTTTAATGAATATAGTCATAATAAACAACGATCATCAGTAAATATGTCTAAAAAAAGAACATCGAAACGTAAAGGTAAATTAAAAACTTCAAAACTTCAAAACAAATTATATTTTATGGAGTTCTAGGAAGTGATGAAGAGGAAGATGATGATGATGATGGATTACCAAATGAATACGATTACAATGATAGTTTTATTGATGATGACAATCTTGCAGAAAGTACACGTATTGATCGAGCAGGTATATAAGCTAATGATGTTCGGGTTATTTATTTAATCTGATTTTTTTGTGCTATAGATAGTTCACAGAAAGATCCTGATAATGATTGGAAACCACATAGAAAAGCTCGACATTCGGATGATGACGATGAAAGTAGTTCTACTGATAAAAGTGAAATCAATCTATTAAATGAAGAAGCTGCTGAATTTGTTCAAGGTTCATCTGTTCATGATCAACGACCAGCTAAAAAGAAAGCACGTGTACATATGTCAGATGATGATGATGATGATTAATTCTGTGATTTTCGTTAGAATTGTATAAATATAAATTTTGTGTTAATCAGATATGAAAAAGTATTTCTTGTAAATTCACTATGTTCATATGTTATATTAGTATCGAAACATACGTAGTAAATTATTCTAAATAAATGCATAGCGTGAAAATAAATCAATAAAAGAATGTGTTAAACGAATATTTTTTTGTTTATTTGAAATATATTTGATTGTTATTAATCGTGAAGATTTAATAATATAGGTTTTCTAACAGGATGTGTATCACAAGGTTAATGACAATATATATGTCATGCATATGTTTTAAAAAATAATTTATATTATATTAGAAACAAACGATGTTATGAAACCTTTCGAGAAAAACTTCAGAAGTATGGTATCATTATTATTATTATTTTGAAGTAACGAGAATATCGCCTACAGAAAGCATCATTTTTTTTGTATTTATTATTAAAATGACGTCCTACTATTTCACATAATTACACTTGATACATGTTTATTTATAACATATAAATATGAAATCTTGAGTTCGGTAGACAAATAACAGTCAAGAAAAATTAGGTTTTACTCCTCAATAACTTGAAAGGTATATTATAAAGACTGAAGGTTCAAACAAGAGGGAGCCACTAGTGTTAATATTTCTCGTACAGATCTTATTTCGACTTTTCAAACTGATTAAAAAAATAGACAAAATTAGTTAAATTAAATTTTGTTTTTGTTGTTATCTAGATTTTGTCATTAATATTGAGAAGAGCTGGTGAAATTATATTGATAATCAAGTACACCAATCGAATTTACGTTCTGTATTCGTCATCATGATATGCTCGTGTCGTAACGATTTCATTTTTACCTTCCATTTATCAATTTCATAAACTGATATTACTCATATTTTCTAAAGTAAAATGTCACTATTTCGTACACCAACTTCTCAAGCAGCTACTCGAAATTTAGTCGAATTTAAAGCTGGTAAAATGAATCTACGTGGTAACATGGTCTGTTAATTAAATTCTTACATTGACTTTAGTTATTTTTTACTGTTATATTATAGGTTTATCCGGATAAACGAAAAGGTCTTTTTTATTTACATCAGGGTAATGATATGCTGATACATTTATGTTGGAAAGAACGAACAAGTAATAGACCAGAAGATGATCTTACTATATTTCCCGATGAAATTGAATTTAAAAAAGTCACGCAAAATACTACAGGTAAAAAAAAATTTTTTTTTTATAACAAAGTTTTCAAAATAAATATTTCTTTTCAGGACGTGTCTATGTACTTAAATGGAAAAGTAATGCTAAAAAATTCTTTATTTGGATGCAAGAACCAAAAGAAGATAAAGATGATGAATATTGTAAAAAAATAAATGATCTTGTAAGTTTCTGATTATAATCTAATTTATGCTTAATATATTTTTGTTAGGTAAATAATCCACCAACACCTAGTTTTGGTGATAGTAACAGTGATGCTCATCAATTACAACCACTTATGGAGCGTATGTTGAGTGGTGGTGCAGGTGGCCTTGATCCAAATGATTTATCAAATGTTCTTCGTGGTAAAATTCGATTTCTGTCTATTTTTTAATGAGAAAAAAAATCTTTTTATAGGTATGAATCCAAATGATTTTCAATCATTACTTTCTTCACTTGGTAATAGTGGAGCTGCTGGTTTGATGCCACGTAATCGACGTGGTGGAGAATCTAGCAGTACGTCAGCTCAACAAGGAACACCATCATCTCGTACAAATACATCTGCTGCGCAGACTAGTGATTCTCGTCCAAATACAACATCAACTAGAACACGTAATGCAGCAGCAACACCTACATCAACTAATAATGCTACTGTTAGTTCACCATCCGCTACGGTCCCTACAAACTCAACAGCATCCACTGGAAACAAAAGTGGTGCTATTCAAATAAATACTTTGAGAAATGCTATGGCTAACTTGAAAAATGATACAACTCAAGCGACAGAAACAACTGCAGCGTCGGTAAAATCCTCTATACCAAATGAAGTATATTCAATATCTAAGATTGCTTTCATGTATCTTTTTCAATTATTATTATTTTAGAATTTAATTCCATTATTAAGTAATAAAGATGTACAAAACAAAATACGTACTCGTTTACCAGACGGTCATAATATACCAAGTACAGAAAAAGAATTGAGAGACTCAATTCAATTACCACAATTTCAACCAATTCTCGATGCATTTAAGTATGTTTAATAAAATAGAAGAAAACTATTTCTTTATAATTTTAATTTAGTCATACTCTTCAATCAGGTGAATTAACATCTGTTCTTTCTCAATTTGATTTTCCAGATGAAGTAACAAATGCAGCTAATCAACGTGATTTACAAGCTTTTCTACAAGCATTAGATAAACATTATAGGAAATCTTCGGACAATACTATGGATACAAATTAAACAATTTTAGAACAAATAAAAACAGAATATACATCATTATCTATCCTATCTAATTCTTTTTTTATTAACTAATAATCTGTTTTTTTTTAATTTCGAATATAAATCAAATTTTTCTCTCAAAAATATTTTTTAATTTCTATTTCACTACAAACAAACAAAATGCAAATCATCGACAATAATAAATCAAGCGAATCAAACAAAATAATACTAAGTTGATATAAATTATGATGATTCAATAAATTTACATTCTATTTTTTTACTATTACATTAGTGGATAAAGCAATTATATAGATGTGTATATGACATTCTGTTAAAGTATGTTGAATTCACATATGCTAACGTTCTCGTCTTCTGTTATGCGTGCTCTTTTTTCTCACTATACACAATAGAATTATCTATGTAGCATATGTTAGTGTGCGTCGATGAATGTAGGAGTATATGATAGAGTTATTTGTTCACCCTTGAAATAATAGAACAAGAAAATAGACTCTATGCCTTCTTGTGTTTTTCTCTCGCTCTATCCTATGGAACTTTGCGAGGAAAAAAATCCTTCATCTATTTTGTAGCTTGATAGAGAAAGAAAAACAACAAGGAAGAAAGAAAAAAGATCTTCGTTCTCTACTTAATGGAACGATGTGATCAGAAATATAGATGAGTGTTTGTGAATAGACACATGCGAGAATCACCCCATATTTATATGTGCTTTTGATCAATCCTTGTTTCGTTTTTTTCTTCTTCTTCATCCTTGTTGTATTTGGAATTTACGACCCGAGAGAAAAAAAAAGAAGAACGAAAAATGGCATGATTACATATAGATCGTCTGTCAATCTAGAGAGAACAGCTGATTATGGCCTGATGTTACAGTCTTATTTCTTTTTTTTCTTCGTCTTCTTTAGTGTATGTCTCCTATAATGTAAATACAATTAATCCATGATTGCCGATTTAAGAAAAATAAGTAATGGAGCTGGTTCAGCAAGAGCCGTCTATCAACATGGTCATTTTTGTATACGTGCATTTCATCGTCTTATTACACATCCAATTTATTCATGTTTCTTAATTTTTATTATATATTTACAAATAATGGATGTTATACTTTATTTTAAAATACGTTCACGAAAACAATTAGATTTAAATATATCAACAATAAATCATACAAATTTAAATTTTTATGATCAAAAATTAAGTCAAATATCAAATGATATACATATTTTCAGTTCATTACCAATTAAAAAAATTATGGTTGGACAAGCTGTAAGTTTTTGTTTTTTTTGAATATAGGAAATAATTACTTGAGAAGCATTTGAATATAGATATTTCAAGTGTTGAAAATCGTGACGTCTGCTTATTCATATATGAGATTTTTTTTAGTAGAAATAGTATAATTTTTATCATAAAGATCTCGTGGATATCTATTGCGTATGTGTTGGAATATGACATGTCTATCGTTGATGCTTTTCTGATCGATAAGGCGTCAAGATCTATTTGTTTATTTCCTCAATTATTGTATCTAAAAATAGAACAAAAATATATCATTAGTTCTATTCTTCATGTCTAACGGGAATACTCGACGAGTATTTTAATGCATAGACCAAACATTTGCCAAGCATGCTATGAAGTGTAAAGTTTTATATATTAGTAACACTATTGAGATATCTTATTTCAATAAGTTTACTTTTATATCTAATGAAATAGTTCGATAAGAGAAACAAAAAAGTGATGAATAATATATTATTCATTGGTTAATTATAATTTTGAAGGATTATATCAATCAGAAATTGATATATGCTCAATTTTTTCTAACTCGAATTGATTTAAGTCAACAAAGAAGAAGAAAAAAAAGGTCAAACAACTTGTATTTCATTATTTTAATTATTAATATTGACATTATTTGATCACGTTTCTATGAATACCTTCTTTAAAAGACAGGAGAACGCGAGGTAATAAATTTTCGAAATTTAGATACGTCGTAGATTGTAATCAAAACAAGGTCTTCTATTTGATTTCATTTTTGATCTGATAAAAATTTGTTTTTTTAAGGTTAGAAAATTCAAATGATATAAAAATCTTGTTTGACAATTGTCATACTTTTAATTATTTACTTTCATGTGTCTGATCAGACCGGAAACTCTATAAAATTATAAATTCAACATTTAATAGTATAGTTCAGAAAAGGGTAAAAGCAAAAAATGAACTTAAGGTCAGATTGACTTCAATTCATTTTGAAGTCCCCGACTTTTAACTCTATGATAGTTATACATACAAAAATCTGAATGATCTTTTCTTATTATATTTAGACTCAATTTGTTCGGTCACCATTAGCTGAATGTATTGAATCAAAACTTCATTTTACATATTATTTGCCTATGATATCAGCAAATAGTGTCTCATTTTTTCATTGTTTCTTATCATTAATCTCAATAAAATTTTTATCAAGTGAATCTTTACATCGACGACAAATTGGTGTTGTAATTTTTCAATTTCGAACATTTCTTGATTGTCTTGATGGTGTTGTTTTTCGAGCACATTCAAAAAATCAACGTTATAAATCATATTATGGTGATTTAGGTTATTATGTTGATGCGATAAGTGATATTTTAGGTGGAACATGTCTTATTATTGGCTGCTTACTTTATTTTTTAAAACAACGACCATTTCGTTTGAAAACACGTCAGATGAATCAATCATTATCAGCACATTCAAGTCCAGCAAGTGATTTTGGACTTGAAGAAACAGAATTAATGATATTAAATCTTAAAGATGAATCAAAATTATCATTAACAAACGATATTAATAATAGTATATTTGAAACAAAAGAAAAAATTATTATTTCATTAAGTCTTTTTGCATTACGTTATTCATTATCAGCTATGTTTTGGGATAGATATGTACGACAATATGAAGATTTATTAGATTCTTATAAAAATAAATCACAACAACAAGTTAGTTATTCTTTTATTTTATTTTATTATGATTAATCTATGCAAATATTTAGGCATTACAATTAAATTTTCTTCATTCACCATTAACAATATTAATATTTTATTTATGGAGATATCTAAGTGCGCTTAATTTTCAAGATTGTCTTCTTGTTGCGATATTCGCTGATGGAACATGGGTTTGTATTTAATTTATATATGAAAAAGAAAAAATATGTATATATTCTTGTAGAAATTTATACAAAAAACAAGTATGATTGGTTGGATAACTTTATTAGTAACAGCATTTGTAACAGAATTACATGTTGAGCAAATTCGATCTGTATTTTCGATTATTTGAATACAAAATAAACTCTTGACTTTTTTTTTTGTTCTTGTAATATTATCTATAAATTCGACTTGAATAAACTTATTTATTTTCCTTTTAATGATGTATATAATATATATTAGAGAAAGAATAAAGGAAATATTTCCTATAATTTTTAGAGTATTTCAGCAAATGGAAAATAATGATTTAACGTATTGGAAAAATTATCAAACAGCTATGCAATGGATCAAAGGAGATGTATCAACAATTATGAGAGAAGAAGTAGAAGAAGAAACTGTAGTAACTAATGAAGAAGATAAAGAACTTGAATTTACTATAGATGATGATTTATTAGATTTCTATCGTCTTTCAAAAGAACATAAAGCGAGTCGAAGTAAGTAATTTGAAATGATTTATGTCAGAAAATCAACTATTTGATATGATATCATTTTAGAAAATCAAAAAACTCAGGAAGAGAATGAAGCTGAACAAATTGAATTAATACCTGGTGAACAAAGTAAATACAAAAAAATATGAAATATTTATTTTCTAATTATTTATTTCTATTTTAGTGCGTCCTAATTTTCAATCTATAAGTAAATTACCACCTATTAATCGTTCAAAATTACGTCAGTTAGAATTGGAATGGCTTTATGGTTCATCAAATTCATCCAAAATTCATGCACGTGAAACTCAACTTCAAATGGAATTTGATCATATATTCGATAAAAAACAACCGTCATATTTTCCAAGTTTACCTAATCGACTTCAATTAAATCCTCATAAACATGGACAACGTTCTTGTTTACCAACTATTTCTATATTAGATATAACTTCATAAAAAAAAAACATTTTTCTGTTTATTTTGTTAAAAATTTTTCAACTAAATTTTCACTTAATTTCCATAAACGTTTTGCAAATTCCATATCAACTGAATGTGCTGCTAAGCCATAAGTTATAGGAGTTGATGGATCAACAACACCTGGACTAATTGCACAATTTTCACAATAAGCACCAGATTGATTTTCTAATTCAGGTGCTAATGCAGCCCAAACACTAGTTGATGCACCTTGTTCAGTAGTTTTTATACGTTCAATAGGTTTTCCAGTTTCTTTATCAATCCAGCCAAGTCTATCCCAATCTTCTTGAGTTAAATCCTTTTGTATATCAGTAAAAATTGTACCTGGATGTAGACTGTAAACTTTAATACCTTGATCAGCATATAATTGACTTGCTTGTTTAGCAAAAAGTATATTTGCTACTTTACTTTGTGCATAAGCTAACCATTTTTCATATGGACGTTTTTCCCAATTTAGATCATCGAAATCAATACCACCACGACGATTAGCTAATGAACTAACAACAATTATACGTGATGGTTGACTTTGTTTTAATACAGGTAATAATAATTGTACAAGTAAAAAATGTGCTAAATGATTTATACCAAAATTATGTTCAAAACCATCCGTAGTTAATTTAAGTGTACCAGGAAAAACACCAGCATTACATATTAATATATTTAATGAATAATTTCTTTTAATATATTCTTCAGCAAATAAACGAACTGATTCAAGCGAATCAAGATGAAGTTCCATTAATTCAATTTGTTGATTTTTTGTTGATTGTTGAATATCTTCAATAGCTTTTTTACCTTTAATCATATCACGTCCTGTAATGATAACATGTGCATGAATTGAAGCAAGTGCACGTGCTGTTTCAAGTCCAATACCTATTTATATATATATAAACAAAATTATTGTTTTTATTCATTAATTTAACTTACCAGCTGTTCCTCCAGTAATTAACACTGTTTTACCCGTATGATCATCATTTAAAGTTTGAACAACTTCTAAAGCAGTTGATTTTGCATGTAACATGTTGTATGTCGAGTGTTTATTGATACTAGATTTTATTCACGAATAAAAAAAAGGTAAAAGAATAACCATGTGTGTCAATATTTGTTTTCTTTGCTTTAGATAGGATCCAATGATATTTATTCTTTTATAACAAACAATATACTATGAATTATTTTGAAAATTTTATAGACTAATAGATTTATTAAAAATTTGTTTGAATTTCAATAAAATATTGTTCTCAATGTCAGTCAAATTCAAGTATCAATGATCTATTATATATATAAATAATTTCGAAAGTCCTTGGAAAATGTTGAATGACATAGATCGAGTAATTTAATAAAAATTTCTAATCTTTTCCCCACTTGTCGGGATTCGAGATAAAAAGAAGCTCTATTATATTAGTTTAAGGATGACCTATATGTATTGATAATACTTCATGTAATAGGACAGAATATTTTACATTAATTCAAAACTTTTTTTTTACATCACTACAGTGATTGTTTTGTTATTTAACGGTTATTCTTTTAGAATTAGTCTTTATTTTACATATGAAAATATTACTTAAAAACGATTCATCAATTGATTTATTATTCAAACTGGTGACAAGCATGTGTTGGTCATGTTATTATTTTTTTTTCGTCTTTTTTTATTTCTATCTTTAAAAAAAAATAGTATCATGTGATAAGAAACGTATTTTTAGCATGATAATGATGATGATATTTAGATGTAAGTTGTTTAAACATCATTCATACATGTATTTTTGTTTCCTTATACAAGAACATACTAATAATCTTTTATTATTGCTAAGACACTGGTAAAATAAACATTTTGTTGGTATCTTAATGTACAATATTTTTAAAGGTCAAGTTTTCTTCTTCTTCTACGTCTTTTTTTCCTATGAATAATTCAATCAATACTAGTGGAATTATGTATGTAAATAAATCGTTTTAATAATCAAACATTTTATTTGTTTTTATTGTTAATAATTGATCGAAGATGTGTTCTTGGTTCGTTTCCTTGTTTATACAAGAAGTTAGTCATGAAGATCTAAAGGGAATAACATTCAATTGGCAGAGTACATATAAGATATTTGCTAGAGGCGTTTATGCATGATTATCAATTTTACATAATGCAATTTGTTTTTGTTTTTTTTTCAGACTGATTTTTGTTTGATAAATTAAACGAGATGGAAAAGGATGAAGAAGAAAATAATATTCAGACGATAAATATAGATGATTCAAATACTATTAATACACAAATAAACCAAGCTGATGATTCAACTATAAGTTTGTTCTATAAATATATTTTCAATCAGAAGAAATCTCTGTTGTTTTTTTCTTCTACAGATAATATTGATGAACAAAGATCAACTTCATCAGATTCTGAAACGGATTTTGTTACTATAGATAAAAATGATCTATATTCAGATATTGTAAGTTTCTTGTCATGTTTTTCCTGGTTGATTGCTTTAATTGATTGCTTCTAAGCAATGGCATGTAGCAAATAAGACACGATTAGTAATCTGCATGACGGTTGTTTAATATATTAGTTTTTTCTGTGTGTTACAATCGTTTCCAGACTTTTTTTTCTTTGATTTCACATGAGAATATTATCTTGATAACTAAAAATGAGATTGATTTAGTTTTTTTCTTCTTCTATATATTTAATAGACGTAAAAAATCAACGAACGAAAGTAATTCTAAAACCTAAAGGCAATTCTTTTCAACATCATATCATGCTTCACATTCATAAAAGTATAATTTTACATATATTAATTTTTTATTGTCAGTTCATAATCAATGATAATAAATAATATGAAAACATGTATTCAACTGACACAATATATTATTTAGTTTTATTTGATATGTCCGTTGTAAAGAATAACTGACTGGTATATAATGACAAAAAAATTTCGTTTCGATAAAACGTATAATATATATACATCATATCAATTTCATATGAGAATATGTTGTTTGTCACTTAGGCAACATTTACCTATGTGATTAGATTACCCTCAAGCAAATATGTTGATGCATTAGTGAGCAAGAATATGTCTGTAAAAAACAATATCCATAAACATTTTTACTATACATATACTTCCTTTTGTCGCTCGTTTTATTTTTACCCTCGTCTGTTAATATGTTACATACATATAATGGATGTAGAAGAAAAAGAATTGTTGCTTTAGTACTACAGAGATGAAGGACAGTTTTGAGTCGTACGAGTAGTGTATATGAAAAAAATGTTAGAACAACGGAAAGAGAATAAGAAAAAAGAGTGTCTTTGACGCTTTTATTGCTATTGCTGTTGTTCTTTCCCCCATTCTCTTAGCTTGCTTGCTTATTAGTCGCTCGTTTCTCTTCCTTGTTTGAGACTCATCATCATCTTTTTTTCGGTCGGTCTTATTCAGCTATTGCCAATTCTTCAGTACTTTTTTTTTCCTTTTTTTCATTCTCTTCTGCGTGTGTTCTTCTTTCTTTTTCTATCGTCATCCGTGTTCTTTGCTTTTTTTTTCGCATCGAACGCAAGAAAAATGTTCAAGTAATGAATATGGCGTCTGATGTCGAAGATCTCAGTACATTTTATGACAATTTACCCTCGATATTTGAGAATAATCCATCATCTTCCGTGAAACAATCATACAATACAGTTGTCGCTGATGTCAATGAAGAAAAATTCTATCAACCAATGTTCGGTTCGTTCTCATTTGCCGATTCGGATCCGCTCAATAGAGCAGCATTTGTTGTCTCTCCATCTCCGTCAATTGAAGTAGATGCATTACAAGAGCGAGTAATGGACGATAATATTTTGAATGATGAGCATAATATTTCAAGTGGAAATGAAACTACATCATCCCTACCGCCCCTAGCTGATACAGAAGATATCGATGATAATAATTATGATAATGATGATGATGAAGATGATTTCGATGGTATACCAATTCGACATGCTTCTATAATGATGAAAAAAAAACTTAATGGTGATAGTGATTCAACTCTTAATCATTTTGATCAAGATCATTTCGTTGATGAATTTATTCATCGTATAGAAAATTCTCAGGATGATAATGATAATGATAATGATATTGAAGATGATACATTTTTAAATGGTTTTAATGATGAAGAACATGAAGAAACAGCTATAGTACCATCTTTATTTAAAGATATTCCTGATATTGATGATCCAAATGAACCTGAAGACGAAAATGATGATAATGGTAGAGTTCCTTTTGATCATATGGATATGTTCGATCAATCAGATTCAATACGTTCATCATCACCTGATTCACTCTTATCTTCATCACATTTACAAGATGAACAAGACGATGATGTTGATATGGATGATGAAGTAGCACAATGGAATGATGATCTTATTCTTCAAACAACTCCATCAAATGTAAATTTACAAACACATCGAACAAATTCTCCATTAGTTTCGAATATATATCCATTCAATCAAGTTGATTTTATTGATTCATCACGTAGTAATTCTAGATGTTCGAATATATCATCACATTTAAGTATTGGTTATGCTGATCAAGCACGCATATTTATGAGTGATGATGATGAACTCGAATCATCGTCTGATAGTGATGACAATAACAAAGAAAATATGATAAATTTAGATTGTGATATTTCCGATCGTGACAATAGTGAAGAAATATGTCTACAAGTTAATCTTGATGATCAACGTTCACCTTCTTCATTTAGTAAAAGTAATAGTACAAGTTCATCATCATCAACACCATCACCGGTTCCCGATGAAACACCAATTATTACTATTGATGAAGATATTGATGAAGCAAAAACTTTACAAGTAGCTCCTATTGCTGTACTTGATGACGAAGAAGAAGAAGATATGCATGTTGATGTTGATGATGATTTACGAACGTGTATATCAGATCAACCAATATTACCTATTTTTACATCTAATATAAAAAATTCCATCGAATTAAAAACTGATAGACGACAAAATGAACTTATTCAGGATATTATCAATATGAGACATTTATTAAATGAAAATGAAGAAGATGATGAATTTATTGCTATTATGCATAATCCACGAATATTTGAACAAGTTTTATATAATAATAATAATAATAATAACAATGCTAATACTAATAATAACGACGACGATAATGAAAAGGTAATCTTACTTAAATATTTATTTTATTAAATCAGAATATCAAAGTATGAGAGATGAAGTATTGATAAAGGTTTAAGTCTTGTCATAAAATCTTCTTTTGTGATATATGTATACACATGTATATCGACAATATCAGCAGCTGATATGATCTCTTCATTCAGACAGACTAAGGATTATGCAATTGAAAGCCGATAAAAGCTGTCATGATTATCTATCTATATATATATATATATATATCGGTTAACTAGGCAAAAAGAAAAGGAAAGAAGAAATCAATTTATCTTCTCTTGTTGTTTTATAGAAATCGGACCTAATCAAGCAAACAAATTCTGTTACCAGTACCTTCCGGCCGTCATCACAGCTGTCGATCGATAATAAAATTGAAGAAGAATCGCTCGAGCATCGTCAAAATATACACCAGACACATTCATTATTAGAATCAAACGACGAAACGACTCCTACATCTTCATCGTCATCATCTCAATATACAAGGAAAACAACAACGCCAATAATAAACAAGCCTTCTCCCACGGCTGTCAATCACCTTGCCCAAGAAGAAGAAGAAAAAGAAGACGATGTTTCTCTCTCTGTCGTCGATACTGTCGATACACTTCGTATAAAACAAAAGAAACAATATTTGTCGTGCCAGCAAACAAATACTTCCGATATTGATGTAAAACAATTTACACTTAGCGAAAAAGATTATTCAATGATGAATATCAATCATGAATCAGACGACGACGACGATGACGATGATGATGATGATTTAGAATTATTAAAAACACTCTCTCAACTACATGGTATTATTAATACTACTACTCAATCTTCTGAAGAAAATAATCATTTGGAGTCTCAACTGTCATTTTATGCTTCGAGTATTAATAATGAGAAAAATTCTTTTGACTCTTCGCCTAATAATCTAATAATAAATGGAAATGAAACAGAATTATCAAATAAGAAAAGTCAAAATAGTAGGCTTTTGATACGACCAACTCCCTATGTCAATGAGACGATAATAAAAACCGACGACGAACAGGAAGAAAAAAATGAGAAAAAAAATGTTATTTTTTATAAAAATCTTAATGATGATGTTGGTAATGGTAAGCAAAAGGAAAAATACGAGAGAAAAGAACAAAAAAAAACACCAACTACGTTTTTTTCTTTAGCATCGTCAACCTCTCCTATTTTATTAAATAATGATTCACATTCTACTCTCGTTATTGTCGACCCTGATACATCCTCTTCATTACCTAACTTATTATTGTCAAACGACGACAACGATTCAACATTATTCACAAATCAATTGATTACCGACGATCTGCAAATATCAAATACAAAATCAAATATGAATAATTTACCTAGTAACGATCTTCCCGATCAGACAACATCAAATCTATTTGATCCATTTGCTCCAATAATAACAACAGCAACAACAACAACAACAGCGCCAGCAGTAAACACAACAGGAATGTTTGATGACACATTCCATCACTCACAAAGTACGAATATAAATGAATTTGAAACACAACCCGATTTTTCATCATCATCAAATCTATCTTCAACACAACCATTAGCTAATTATAATTTTGATGATCTATGGGATCAATCAGTATCTCATATTACATCATCAAATAACCATGAAATTCAATCAGATAATGATATTAATCCAAATACATTCGCATGGGATGCATTGGTTAATAATAACAATGAAAAAACAAATCCATTTAATGACAAAACAAATGTACCAACATCAAATATAACATGGAATTCTTTATTTGGTTTAGAAGAACAACCACAACAACAACAAGAAGAAAAACAAGAAGATAAAAATGATCTGAAAAATTTCTTAAATTGGATTATTAGCCATTTAGATGATTCAAAACCTTCAATTGAATTTACTTCAATACATAATCTTGAAAGTATTATAAACGATATTCATATGTGTACATTACCATTTACACCGATACCATCTCCACCATTACACATTGATCATACAGTTACAAATCCAATGATTAATGCAACTCATCATGAATTATTTCCAATTGATGAAACCGAACAACCAAATGTAACACAAGGACAACAATCAATGATATTATATGAAGAAGAAGAAGAAGATGAAGGTGAAGAAGAAGAAAAATCTAGTGAATTATTATCTATTGAAAATTCAATTAAACCAATAGCTGAAAATTTTGTTTCAAATGTTTTACAAACAGCCTTACATGAAGTTCATGAGCCTAATCAACAAGTCGAACATTTGGTTGATCAAATATTAGCACAAGCCGTATTTGACGTTTATAATACAGATATAAATTTATCAGAAACTGAAAAAAATGATCCTTTACCAATAGAAAATCTTGCAACAATTATTAGTTGGCATGATCAAACAAAAGCAACGAATAAACACTTACCTGATCCTTTTGATCAAAAATTTGATAGTGTTTGGAGTAGTCATTTTGAGGCACCAGATGATACAACGAATGAAAATTTATTTGAAAATCAAAATCAAACTGAAACTGAAAATGATATTGATCCATGGTTAATAACAAAAACAGCAACAACAACAACAACTGAACTTGATCCTATGGTACTTTTTTCTAAAACTTTTGATGAAACAGATTTATTTTCTTCTGCAACTAATCCAATAAATAATATTCCAGAAACAGACGACGATGAGACTGGCACGCTTAGTGAATATGTGCCACCGCTATTATTAACAAATCCTGCTAACGCTGCTATGGCTACTAATAATTTGATGAAATATACATTGACAGCACCTGTCATAGATGATAGCGGTGATGACAGTTCTACTATTGAAGATTATTTTTCTACACGCAAGGTAATTAATATTTTCCCTTCATATTTGTTTTAAATCAAGTCTAATATATTTATTCGAAACCTTTTTCTCTCTCTCTTTTTATTTTTTTAAGTATTATGGGTGTATCGAGTATTTTGCATTGCTATATCACTTTTAGCTAATTTACATTTTTTATTTGATTCTATGTGTTTATTTTCTTTATGCTTGATTAATTTTATCATTTAATTATGCATTTAGAATGATTCATCTATAACAACGAATGCTAAAATTAATGAAGAACCAGCTGCAGACATAGAAGATATAACAGTATGTAGATTTCTTTCGTGTATATATATATATATAAAATTAAAATAATTTTTTTGTTTTTTATTAGTGGAGAGAACAAGAAGAAATAGAAACAAATGAACAAGAAAATTTCTTTTCGAAAAAAGCACGTCTATCACAATTTGAAGTATTTGCAAGTGATCAACCATTAAATTCACCGGAGATTGAATCAAAATTTTCTAATATAAATACACAATTTGGTAATGATTTCAACGAATTTTCACAATTACAACAATCAACTGATGATAATGCAGCATGGATATCAGTTGATAAATCATCTGAAATGGTTAAATCGAATAATTTTGGTGATAATGAACCATGGGAATTAGAAGATCATGGTGAAGAAAAAATAACACCAGTACCAACAACAATGCGACTATCTGCATTTAATGACAACGAATTTGCAACGAATGAAAAACGTAATTCACAAAATAATTTTTTTTCAGACTCTTTTAATCCACCAACATTTACCGAAAATGATTCAAATAATAATAAAGAAAATTCTCCTGATCATTTTATCAAAAAACAAACAAATGAAGATATTGATCAATCAATACCTAAAAGTGTACGTTTTGATGATCGTATACAAAATATACGTAGTCCAACACCGCCAACAGATATTCTTAATGAATCAAAATCATCAACAAAAAGTGATTCAGATGATATTGATATCGATGACATTAGTCCAAGTTTCGAAACAGGTAATGATCAGATTACTGATCATACAATGGAAACAAGCTATGTCAATGTTGATACAACAGATGTAAAAGTATGTTTCTTCTATTAATCATCCCTAAATTAATCTAATGTTTTTTAGGCTGAACATTCATATAAATCAAATGAATTACCATCTCATACTCGATTAGAAAGTGAAGATTTATCTACATCATTAACAGATAAAACAAGTAAGTAGTTTTCTTTCTCTCTTCAAAACAAATGTTTATAATTATATTTGCTTTTTATTAGATACTTTAGATGACAACATTCCATTAAAATCAGCAGTTATATTATCAAATACAAATACACAATACAAAATAAATTTACGTTCAGAATCAGAAATAACTCCAGCTATTCAAACAACAACAACAACAACTGACAATAAAATCCATAGTAATACAGATACACAATCAGTTCAGCCACTTGACTCAGGTATGTTGATATTTACGATTGGATATTATTGCAGGTACTTGTTGTCGTGTATATTGTTGTTTGTTAGAAGGAGGAGAAGATGAATGTTTATTATTATAATTTGAAATAATATCATGATAAGTTGATTCATATGGTACTTGTAAATCAATAGTTTCAGATTTAAGTAATGCTGATGGTTGAACAACAGTTGTTTTTCGTCGTTGTTGTACTGCTGGTGGCATAGCGATAAGAACTGGAAGTGTATCTTTTCGTGGTGCTATTAATGGCATTTGATGTTTTTGTCTTTTGTGTCGTTCATCAATTAAAACTTTTAATTCATAGATTTTCTTTCGAATTAATTCATCTTTTAAATCATTAACATGTAATGAACGACAGAGTTGTTCGAGATCAATAATTGGGATTGGTTCATGATGATGATGATGGTGATGATGTTTTTGTTGTTGTTGTTGTTGTTGTTGTTGCTGATGTTGTTGTTGTTGATGATGCTGTTGTTGTTGATGCTGCTGCTGCTGCTGTTGTTGTTGCTGTTTTGATGGATTTTTACTAACAGGTGATACTGATTTAGAAGTTTTTGTCTAGAAAGAAAGAAATGACAAGTAAAATATATATTTATCTATTCTTTGATCATTTTTTTTGATTACTGTTGTTATAATATTTGATGATTTTGTCGGTTGTTTTGATTCTTCTTTTGTATCAAGATAATCGAGATATTCAAAAAGTTTTTTATCTTCATTTATATTTGTTATTAAAGCTGCCGGTCGTATAATTGATGACATTAATCCTGGTGGAGGTGTTTTAATGACTTTTTCAACAATTTTTGTTCCTGGAATATCTCCTCCACTTGCTTTACGTATTTTATTTTCATCTTGTTTTTCAACATACCAATTTTTATTTTTATTACCATTATCAACAGTTCGTGTCGGAATTGTTGTTAATGATTTACTTATCATATCGGCTAATGTTAATTTTGTTGATGGTGTTTCAGATCTTGACGATGTAAGTTCATTGAATATAACACTATCAACATCATCATTATCATCTTCATCAAATATACTTGATATTTCATCAACATCAATCTTCTCATTAGTTGCTAATGCTTCTGATGGTGTTTTTTCAATACGTACATCAATTTGTTTTGATAATGGTGCTGTATCAGGTTGTTTAACTGATATATTAATCATATATGTTTCTTCAAACATACAACGTGATCTTCCTTGAATATCATCATTGATTAAATTGGGAATAGTTGTTGTTGTTTCTTCTTTGATACATATTGTTTTATCATGATTTGGTTCAATTTGTTGAGCTGCATGTATATTACCCCGTTGAACATCATAAGAACCATGTAAGAAGAATTTAAGTAATTCATCTTCACTACGATTCTTTGTAGTATCCAGTTTTGATTTTCGAATAGTAGGTGTAGGTTTATGATAAGGTATAGGAATAGCAAGAGTACTACTGGCCATTAGATTGTAAAAAGTTGTATGTTACGTTTGACCACACAAAAGAAAGTATAGAGTGCAAAAAAAAGGAAGGCGCACATTTGAATGAATAGTCATGGTCAATACAAACGATTGAAAGTAGTTTCATCGTATACACATACACATACACATTTATATATATGTATATATATATATACACGAATGTGATGAAACAAAGACCTTGACCGATAACTGTTCACTTTTTTCTTTTACCTTTATTACGCAGTTGACACGCATACACTATGTACGAATCGACAGTACACATTATATTCTCGTAATGTGAAAGATAATTTGAAAAATTAGAACATGATTTAGTTTTCAAGAGTATCTTATCTTTTTTTTTTCGTCATATATTTATATATGTATACAAGTTATTTTCTATAAAACTAATTAACTAAACTTAATGCATATGGTACTGAACGTACTGAATGAAAGTCAAGAAATTCATCTACACCAACTGTTGTTGTAGTTGTTGTAGTCGTCGTCGTTGTTGTTGTTGGTGATGATGATGAGAATAAAAATGGATCGATATCTGTTTGTTCAGCATCAAATGAATCATTTGTATGGAAAACAACATTTATTCTTTTATTATTTATTGTTGATAATGTTTTTGTTTCTGATGATTCATGTTTAACAGTAATAGCATTTGATGATTTTGACATTGTCTCATTGATAATATTAAATGTTGGTATTAATGGTGTAGAAGTGGGTGCAAATAATGCTGTCATCGGTGTTGAATTAATAGCATGACGACGTATAACAAGACTTGAAAGAGTTCTGGATGGTGATGGTTCACGTCTTGTTAATATTGATTTCATAAATTTTGATGCTTTAGGTGAACTATTCTCAGATTTTGCAAGTATTGGTGATGGTTCGATATATTTTTTACCTTGAATAATTCGTTGTAATTCAGTAGTAGATACTGGTGTATATAAAAGAGTAGGACGTCCAGTCGGATGATATGCTGATGACGAACGACGACGATCAGAAAATTTTTGTCGACGATGATAAGCAGTTTCAAGTTGATGTAATATTAATCGAGCTAAAGCAATTAATAGAAGACATAGAACAATAGGTGATATTCCAATTAATACAGCATATAATGTTCGACGAATACATTGATACGAACAATTTTCCATTATCTCCGATGAAAAACTGTTGCTTTCTTAGTAATATAATTATTAATCATTCAAGAGAAAAGAAGTTTTCTGAAGTTAACTTTCATTTTTTTTTCTTTCAACTGAGTTATATACAATGGACATATGAATGCGTTTACAAATCGTTAGCTTGTACTAACGATGTGTTGAAAAACACAGAAAAAAGAAGGCAATAATGGTCGTAATAATAATAATAATAATAATAATCATAATAATAATAATAACAACAACAACAAAAAACATATTAGAAATAGAAAGAGAATTGCAGCTGAGCTGATAATTTCTACATCAATACAAATCTATCTATGACAGTAACAGAGAGACAAAATTATGGCTTAGCATACATTATTTTCGTCGTTTATCCTCCTGTCTTGTTGTTGATGATGATGATGATGATGACATTCGCATTGATAGATAATAGAAAGATGTATATTTGTTCTGCATGATAAATCAAACAACTTCAGGAAAAGATTGTTGATCAGAATCATCTATAGATGGATTTGAAACAATTAAACATTGCTCTGAACATCGTACAATTTCTAATTGTTTTTTAAGTTTCCAATTTGCATAACAACGTGATACTTGAATACATACACTTAAACTAATATATAATAATATCGCAATAACTAATGGTGTAAAACCAAGTAGTAAAGTCTTTTTTAATGTTGTATTATTATCATCACTAGGTTCGGAATTTTCACCAAAATTCATTCGTCGCTAAACAAAAAATAAATGTTTTTGTATAAAAGAAGAATACAAAATTGATATTTAGTTGTACCTCATTCGCATCCATGTAGTTTCGCGTGACTAGCTTAAAAGAATGATAATGATAAAATGAGATTTGCTTTTTGAATAAGAACTAATATATATATGTTCGTGTCTTTGTCAGTTCTAATAAACGCATCGCTACTCAATCATACAATGAACGTTATAGTTCTCTTGAAAAGATATGTTAGTAGAAAGAAAGGATCTCTACTTTGCTTTTCTTTTTTATCCGTTCATAAACATAAAGTCCTTCTCGTTATGCCGTTGGGTATAGAGAAGAGTAGGGAAAAGAGCGACCGGCAAACAATCAAGTGATAGTAACGGGAATTCCGAAAAAGAAACAGAAAGAAAATAGATAAAACTAAAAAAACGAGCAAGAAAATATGTTCTTAATAACTTCTTATAAGAAGAACAGACTACTTTGAACAGCGTAAATGAAATTAGTTTGTATGTGTACATATATGTGCAAGCTGAAAATAAATAGGAAAGAGAACGCAAAGATTTATATCAGAAACATGTTTTAACTGTGATTACTATATCAGGAAACTATGTCTATTCATTTCCGTTTAATTACCCATATATTGATGAGTAAATGTTTCTAAGTAAAGAAATATATACTATATGTAATATCCGTATCTACTATGTAAAATAAAAAATAATCAACACAAATTTCTTTTTCTTCTTATAGCTCTTCTTCGTTCAACATCTAAAGATGATAGTGGTATCGATCCGGACGAAGTAGATGATGTGATTTCATGTGTGATTGATAATACTCCAGTTAATATTGATGCTAAAACGATTACTCCATTCAAGTGTGTCATTAGTTCAGCAGGCACATTACAAGAAGATAATCAAACGGCTGTAATTGCTATTTATGGATGTTGGTTACCCGATCATCGTCTTCGAGAATATCGATATATTATGGATCAACTTTTTTAGTAAGTTAATCAGTGTTTTTTTTTCTCTTCTTCTTATATTATTAATTAAATTTATTTGTTATACTATAGTTATGTTTATCATAAATTGAATAAATTAGTTATCAATGATTACATTCTAATTTATTTTCATGGTGCAACACCAAAACATCGAACACCTGATTTAAAATTTTTACGTAAATGTTATCAAATGATTAATTTTCGGTAAAGAAATGTTTTCTTTTTTGTTTAATTTTCTATTAATTTTTATGTTTTTGTCTCTTTATTAATTAGACTTCGAAAAAATCTTCGTGAAGTTTATGTGGTTCATCCAACACGATGGCTTCGTACTGTTATTGCTCTTTCTAGACCATTCTTTAGGTAAAAAATTCTAGGGTTTTATAGATTACAAATTGACTTTTCTTTGTTTAGTAAAAAATTTTATCATAAAATCAATTATATGTATACAATTGCTGAACTTGAACGACAATTTCCGAATAATCGTCTTTCAATTCCAGTTGCAATAGAACAGTAAGTTGTTGAATACTTGACATTTCCTTTTGCAAAGAATTTACCTACTTTTCTAATAAAACTACATCAATAAGAACAAAAAAAAATGAAAAGAAATCTATTTTCTCTTTTGTCTAGATAATATGTATTAATATCTAACCACAAATTGGAGTAGGGAATGCAAAAAGGTAGCATATTATTTTTTGTTGTCATCACGGTTGGGATATAAAATTAAATTTAATGTTATTTTCTTTGTTCTTGTAAAATTTATTGGTGGTAGAAATGATGTTGTATCGTTTTTATTTTTATCATATGTTAATTTTAGAGCCGAATTAACTTATTATAATCAATAGCAGAATGCATACATGTAAATGATGGTAGAGGAAAAGACAAATAAATTATTAATACTTTATTTTTTATTTATTCACAACAGCAAATAATAACTATCACCTAGCTTTTGTTTTTGTTTTCATCTTGACTTTCTCAATACTAATCACATATATTCTCGAAAAAACAAAAAATTAATAATAACTATCAGCTTATAACTTACTAAGAGAAACCATTAGCATATTATTTTCTTCCACTGAAATAGAAAGAATTCCCATGGATAATTATTTTTACCCAATATTTATTCAGATATGATATACGACATTCGAGAAAAGGATTTTTTCGATGTTTTTGTTAATTAAAATATGTAAGTATATGTATATTGAAATTATCCAGAATGACAAGAAATATAATCGATCCCATGCATGCACATCATTGCCCTATTTAACATTAAGAATGCTTATTAGCTTTTTATTTTTTGTTTATTGAAATATGGTGTTTGCGTGTGTGTGTGTGTATTTGCTTCTACTTACATTAATATAACTATTTTTATTTTACATGATTTTCCACTTATAATTTTCTACAGGAAAGATTGGCTCTATTCTCAAAAATATGATCGTCGAAATGCAAGTATAAAACATTCTACTACACAACCAAGATCTCGATCAACGACAAATACTGAGGATGAATCAACTGCTTGATTATATTCATTTGTACTTGCATTTTTACCCGGTAGTTTTTTTTTCATCTTCTTCTTCTATATTTTAATTTCTTTTTTTTTTTTGTTTGGGTTTTGTTTTGTTGTGCAATAATGTGGTGCTCCTTTTTTTTCTTTTTCTCTTTTTTTCTTCGTATTGTCTCTTTGCGTAGTGACAGTTTATATTGTATATGTTCGTAGATGAGAGAACACTATTTTGCAACAATCAGATTGTTTGTTGTGTTTCAAAAAAGGAAAAAAAAGTGAAGTGAATATCAAAGCAAATCTGAAAATGAGAAATCAGACATTGTACTGCCTCTTTTTTTCATTATTTGTGTGCTTGTTGTTGTTGTTTTTTTTTTTTCTATCAATATATTTTCAAATACATATATAATTCGGCATTATTTTCAAAAATATATTAATGAGCTATGTAATTCAATACATTAATTATCTCAAAAGGAAAAGAAAATGAGTAGATTTATTATTTGACTGCCTTCCGACAACATGCAACAAATATTTTAATAGATGGTTAGATCTAAAGATTTATTTTACAGTTAAGAAATAAGAACAAAGCGAGTGAATCTGATAGACTCCGCGATCACTTAGCAGAATTTCATGGAAATCCGATAATTTTAAGCTATTAAATGAATTATCTAGAGAGTAAAAAAAATATAGAAGATTATTATCAATGAATACTTTGCAACCAATTCAGTTAATATCTATCGAAAAATAAAAGAATTAATATATTCATAAACTTCTTTAAACTATTCATTTAATATATATCTTAAAGATCTATGTCAAGTTCAAAAGATTGAATAGTATATATATTTTTTTAGTCATCGAATGACTTCGAGTAAGTCATTTCGATAATAAATAAAACTTTAGATAGGTCATTAAGCTATACCACTGAGAATTAGAAAACTGGTCATAGCAGGAGAATCTTCGTAAAAAATATTTCTTATTTACACTTATTGTTCACGTATTTTAAATGTCACTGTTGCAGTTGGTATACTGAATTTAGCAAACAAAAATAATTCGAACAATAAATTACTTTCCATAAAGTCATATGTTGACTATCTCAATCATAAATATTTTACAGTTTTTTATAGAAAAAGCAAATGCATCTCTGATTGATATTAAGAGCGTTTTTATAAAGTACTTATTGATTTACATCGACGATCATAAAAAAACATCGATAGTGACTAACTTGTTTATAATTACCTTCATAATCACACATAACAGAATGAAAATATATATTATATTGATGCAAAACCATGCGAAAAATTTAATTTTCCGCTAAAATGAGACTATATATATCAAACACTGTTTTTTTTTCTCTCGAAAAAATAAATAACCTCTTTAATAATATTGATAAATTGTTTATCTAGAATGATTACATTTGGGTACTTCAACCTCTCTTATCACTATTAGAATAGTTGAAGTTATTCTATTTTTCAATTTCATAATTCTATTAGTTGAATATGTTTGAATATTTATATCTTTAATATTCTTATGATTATGAAAAAGAAAAATGACTAATTTCTATCATATAAATGAATTAATATTATAAACGATTCGTCATACATAATACAAACGAACAGATAAATATTGACTATTCGTTCTTCTTTTTATCTGTCTTCTAACATAAGTTTATCTTATCAAGTATGAAGAAAAGAGAGAACGAACATACAATATTATATATATATACACGGATACAAACAAACATATTCATATTTCTACTTTCTTTTTGTGTTCGTAGCGCAAAACGATAAAAACATACAATGGCAAGTGTTGGTGAAAATCGTTATGGAAAAGAAGGTGTTCGTCTCGTACGAGTACGTCGTTCACCACATAATGGTAATACATTCGATGAATGGACAGTACGTGTCCTTCTCGAAGGTGATTTTATTACAAGTTATACTGAAGGTGATAATTCAAAAGTATTACCAACAGATACAATAAAAAATACCGGTATGATATTATATCATTTTTATATTTATAACATATATTTTTTTCTTTTAGTTTATTATATAGCCCAACGTACACGTACAACATCAATAGAAGATTATGCAAAAGAACTTGTAAATTATTTACTTGAACATCATTCACAAATATCAAATGTACAAGTTAAAATCGAACGTAAAGCATGGTCAAATATAATTAAATCAAATAAGACTCGTCATTTAACAGCATTTACAGAAACAAGTAATGAAGTTCAAACAACAAGTGTTAGCCGTTCAAGACATGGTGCATTTTCAATTCTATCTGGTCTTAAAGATTTAAAAGTAATGAAAACAGCTAATTCAAATTTTACAAATTTTTATAAAGATTCATTAACAACATTGGCTGAAGCTACTGATCGTCTTATGGGTACATCTATACAAGCTAAATGGACATATGAAGATGCATCATCAAGTATTGATTTTGATAAAACACGTGAACAAATTCGTGGATTAATGCTTGATATGTTTGCTGAACATCATTCTGAAAGTGTTCAACATACATTACATGCTATTGGTCAACATATTTTTGCTCATGTACAATCAATTCATAAAATACATTTAACAATGCCAAATATTCATTGTATACCAGTTGATTTAACTCGTTTTGGTGAACAAAATAAAAATGAAATATTTATGCCTATTGATGATCCTCATGGTTATATACAATGTGCAATGAATAGATCATCATCATCATCAAAAGGAAATCTTAAATCAAAACTCTAAAAAAAAATTTTATTTTTCTAAAATTCATTTTTGTCTTTTTCCTATTTAAAGAAAATCATTTTTTTTTATTTCAATAAATTTTCTAGATGGCTAAAACTTTAACTACACATATTCTTGATTTATCATGTGGTCGACCAGCTGCTAATGTACCAGTTCAAGTAGAAAATCTTGTTGATGGACAATGGATATCAATGTCAACGCCAACAAATACAAATAATGATGGTCGTGCACTTGATTTAGTTCCTACAGATAAATGGCAACCTGGTCGATGGCGTATTATATTTGATGTAGCTTCATATATGCCTGATGGATTTTATCCTTCTGTTACTATTGAATTTTGTACGAAAGATACAGCACACTATCATGTACCACTTTTACTCAATAAATTTGGCTATAGTACTTATCGTGGATCATAAAACAAAAACAAAAATATTCAATAAACGTTTTTTTTTTCTTTTATTTATTAATAAAAAGAAATTACAATTTATTAATAATGTGTTTTATTCTGGCACTCTGTCCACATTGAAAATGCTTTCGATTCATCTTTCAGCAATTGAGTGATGCCAACCCGTCGTTCATGTAATTCACGTGCTAATTCTTCATAAATAAAATGATCATCAAAACCAACTAGAAGATAGAAATATTGATTATCAGTTTTATGTTCTTTTTAAAAATATTTTTCTTACTATCTTTAGCATCCGATTTTGAATGTGAAAAATAAATATGCTCAAGATGTGCCCAATAAATAGCACCTAAACACATTGGACATGGTTCACATGATGTATAAATAACACAACCTTCAAGATTATGTGTTTTTAATTGTTGACAAGCCTGACGAATAGCCGTCATTTCAGCATGTGCTGTTGGATCACATGTTGGAACAACTTTATTTGAACCTTTAGCAATAATTTTTCCATCTTTACAAATAACAGCTAAATAAAAAAAAAGAATTATTTTTAAATACATATATGTATATAAAGAAAATTCATACCACCAAATGGTCCACCGAGTCCATGTTTAACATTTTCTTCTGCTAGCTAAATATATCGAAATATTTTTTTATCAAATAAAAAAATAATAATAATTTTCTTTACGTCAATTGCCATACGAATATATGTTTCATGTTCATTTCGTTCATTTTCTTTCACAGTTGTTTCAACAAACATTCCATGTTCTTCCATATTGAAAATATTTTAAAGTCTAAAATAAATTTATTATTTAGAAAAAGAATAAAGTATCTTTTAAATAGCTTTTACTACAGTTTCAGTTACTAAATAAATATAACGAGCCTAGAAATATGTTATGTTCTAAGAAAGAAAGAAAAAATTATAGATGTTTATTTTAAATCAAAACAACAATACTTTTTGGGTGTGTTTTCGTCATATTACCCTAGGATATTCTCTTATAGAAAGAAGAAAATGCACGCATATAAGTAAATAAAAGACTATACGCCTTTTTATAAAACCAGTAAAGATAAGCAGAATTTGTACGTGAGAAGATGCTCATATTTACTTATCGAGCTAGGTCACTCTATTACGAAGCAAATAAGAAATATGAAATTGTAAAACGCAATTATTACTCGACTTTTCTCGAATTTATCTCGTTAATTTTTTTTCATTTGTCATCATCCCTGTACCTGTGGTTAAGAAACTTAATGTTTACTTTTGATATCATGAAAAGCAATAACACCTTGTTTTTTACTATTACACACAAAAAAGAAACGAAATTTTAAAAACACAAACCTTAATAAATACAAACAATTGAATTCTCTTTCTTTTTGATATCGAGTCTTTTTTTTCAAATCTATAAATATATGTGTGTATCGGCATGATCACATGCATAGATAAGTATACTTATCTACAATAAACATAACAACAAGGTATTTGCTATAGTTTTGAATGAGAAAATGAAAAAAAACACAAGCTGTTCTCGTACATAGATAATTTAAAATCAATATTATTTCAATCGTTTGTTATCTGAAATTTTTCTATTGAAGAGAAGAAAAAAGACGTTTAATAGAATCAGATAAGAATTCTTAATGATAATTAAACCATTGATCAATATTATATTTGTATAATCAATTAAGTTTTATAACAATTATTAAAATTTAAGAATATTATTGTATTTAAATATTTATTTTGCTATAAATTTAACCTGGAAATTTTAAATAATTTATTGTTACCCCTTGAAAAATGTATTTTAAGACGATTTAAATATGCACTCAATACTTTGAAATTTGATTTGTAAGCGAAATTGACAAAACATTCTCGAAAGAATGAAATAAACTCTATTTAAATGATTCATTTGGTATAATTCAGTAAAAATAAACTATAACATCATAGCACCATCTATATTCGTTCATTTCTTTTTCTGACATTAAATATCTTTTGAATAAACGGCTGTCATAATGTGTCGTACTTTAAACTATGAAATTCATGATGTATAGGACTTGGAAAAGGCATATATTCTAAAAATAATTGAAGTTTTTTTTTCATGGAACTTGTTATTAGGAGATTAAAATTTATTTGATGACGTCTTTCATGTAAAGTCTAATGAAATATGTAGTTTTTACTTGTCTTGTTTCAAAATTTGAAAAATTATACAATATCTATTATTCTTAATTGTATTTCAACATTAAAATTTATTCTATCTATAATCGCTTCATGATTTTTGTAAAAATTCACTTGCGAATTAAATTAACATCATATGGATTAGAAGAGAAGTTATTATTTTCGATTTATGAAAAAAAACTCTGGAGAAATATACAACATCGATAATGGAGAAAGAGTCTTCGAATTTGTAATTGTAGTTCTATATCGAGTAGAGCTTGTAAACCAGAGATGGGCAACTTAGAGTTGGAGTTAACTCCGAAGTTGACACTTTTTCTCCCTGGAGTTGAATTTTATGATTTTTTTCTAACTCCCATTTAACTTATATTGATTTTATTTTGTTATTGGAAGGACAAAAAAAAAGTAATGAATCGTATTGAAACAAACTCGACTTATTAAATCAGAGTAGTGTACCACCGGAGTTGCCCATCTCTGTTGTAAACCTTATATGAGTTCAATACGTCTATTCATAATTTGCATGCACTGTACTAATATTATAGTAACACATAATAATATTTCTTAAAATCACTTTAAACATAGTGTGACATTAAAACTTTTATTATGCGTCGTAATATATCAATTGCAGAATGTTTGTGAATATGAGAATTCTCGACGAATAATTGTATTTAGCTATGTGAAACTAATGATATATTGTCCGTATATAATCAATCTTCCTCTATATATTATGTTTACATAAAGCACAAGATAGATAAAATGAAAATCTATTCATCTCAAGATGCCTAATGTTATATAATAAATAGTGTGTTTCAAGTAAATTTTTGTTTTATTAGTTAGTATTTTGCCTGAATATTAATCCTAATTCTTATATGATGAATACGCCATTGAATTTGATTAAATACAAATGATTTATATTTTAAAATTTCAGTACAATTAAATTGGAATTAACAATATGACAACACGCACATTTATGAATTCTCGAGTTTCTTTTTTCTTTTTGATGATTTCAAAGTCAAAATTTTAATATTATAGTATACTTGAAATAAAACTCATTGTCATACTTGATTTATTTCAAGTGACAGATCCGAAAGACATTGATGAGTAATTCTTAAAAGTTAAAAAAAAGATGATAATAAAATTTTGAAGAAATTATTCTATTTTCTTTTTTCTACCGTTTTTTTTTCTTCTCTTCTCTACTTTTCATTAGATTTCAACTTACACATCTACTAATATAAACTTCTTTTCTTTTATTGGAAAAAAAAGAAGAAGAAAAGTGCATGCAATGTTAAGCATTTGTTGTACTTTATATTTTTTTAAATTGAGAAGAAAAAAAGAAAGAAAAGTATAAAGAAAAACCGTAGAATCATCGTTTTTCCGGTGATCGATGATTATCGAAAAAGAGAAAGAAAAGGAGAGGGAGAAAACAATCATTTTTTTTTTATATATATTAGTCTCCGTTTCCTTTTTGAAAACTCCCTCTACAAGTAATATAGACACATATGTAGTCGATTTTGTGCCGATAGACACATTATCTTACATATAAATTTTTATTCTTTTCTTTATTTATGCACTCAATTACATTTTTGCTAGCTTAGTTTTCTTTTTGTTTTATCATAGAGAAAATATTATCAAGATAATTCTAACTCTTTATAATATTCGTTTTTTTTGAGATTGTAGAATAAATAAGAATATTCCGTAACAATAATTATGGTCCGACGTATTGAAGGTACGATTTTCTATGACAAAAATAATGAAGTTCTCAATGATAATCATAAAATTCTCATTTATCTTGATGATATAACACTGACAGGTAAGAAGAAAATCATTAGTATTCTGCCAGTATAGATATATGTTTGATTTCTTTGATAGATGTTGCGTCTCAAGATGGTTCTTATGTACGTAAATTTCATACAATATCAAAAAAAATTTTGGAAAATCAAGCTCGAACATTTCCAATTGAATTTATACTTGAATATGATGAAAAAGATATTGAAAAAACATCAAACTATTCAATACGCGTACGAATTGTAGCTGATGGTAAAACACGATTTATAACCAGCTCAAATAATCCTGTACTTACAAAAGGTTATGGTGATATGGTTGATATTAAAGTGGAAAAAATTGATTTAATGTAATAAAAATGAACCTAATCAAGCATTCCTTTTTTATTGAAACAAAAAAAAACAATAACGTTAAAATTTGTTCTCTATGTGCATGTGTTACGTAAAAATAAAAATTCAAATAAATATGATAATTGAATATAATATTCAAAGAATCGAAACACACAGATAAATTGAATTGATATGTTAGATTTTCATAAAATAAAATGAATAATATTTATTCAAACTTTAGTATAGTGTCAATCGGATTATATAAAATAATTAAAAAGTAAAACAAAGGTTTTTTCCAATCATCGACAATTCGAAAAAGTATGCTTAAAATTTATTGATGCACGACAGAACAACAAATTATTCATAGTTCAACTTTAGTCATAACCTATGCATTATTTATGATGAATAAATTAATTCATTTTTATTAGTGTAAACAATGACGGTGAATATACTGCGTTCTCGACGGGGCCGCAAAACATTATTCATGGACTTTAGACAAATAAATAATATGTTTCATTCAAGAGAAAACACAGTTCATAAGATTATGAATTAATACATTCAAAAAAATGACTAGTTTTTCTTAAGAAAACTTTATCAATTGATCATATATAGGACTTAATGAAACTATGGGAATCTTAGTATGATTTGTGCTCATAGATCTTTTTTGCCAAGATTCAGCGTTGCCAACTCTTCCGGATTTTTCTGGATTTTAGAAGATTTTTATTGAATTAAATTTTATCTATTTGTTAATACTCAAAAAAACCTTTTTTTGTTTGACAGCAGCTCAGTGGCTTATACTTCGTATATATTTAGTTTATTATATTTTGAATTTTGATGTTGATTTCCTTTTGATATAATAAGTGGTATAATCGAGAACAAGATTTAGAGAAATCTATTTTAGCCGACAGAAATTAACTGTTAAAATTCTTTCCGGATTTTCACATTAGAATTCCGGTTTTCTGACTATGACAGTTGGCATCACTGGCCGAGATAAAAACGTTCAAGCTTAGAGCCAAAAAATATGTATTAATCGCTTGTTGTTTTTGAATTACAATAATAATATATATATCAAGACAAAAGGTTATTTTTCAAACTGCTGGTCATGAATAGAATATGAAGATGCTGTCGTAGTGTGTCTGATGAGCTAATCTCTATTAGCATATTTTACAGGGTTCATTTACCGTCAGAATAAGTATAAACCATTCCGTTTTATATTCTATAGCGTTTTAGAAACTTCTCTTATTATTATTAGGAGTATCAGCTAGTTTAACAATCGACATTTGTATATCAATAATGTAAATTTCACTTTCTCTATCTCCTTGGATTGATACTGATATCAATCATCGAATGTTCACATTGTCTTCATCGTCTTGTGCAAAAAAGAGAATTTCTCTTGACAAATATTGAATCGTATTAATGAGGATAAATTAACTAAATACGAAGTAATTATTCCTGCATTGTTTATTATTACAATTATAACAGATTATCTATTATATAAAAAAAATTAACATTAACATCAATGAAAAATATCGCGAAGATTTATTTATCTTTGTATTCGATTTCTCTATCAGATGAACCAAGTATTTTGAACACAAATTTGTTTCATCTTTTTCTTTTCGTAATAATCAATTAATTATACTCGTGGTACCCTAAGAAATACTCTAGCTGTATCATAAAGGAATAATTGTACTGCACTTAATGTACCAACAATAAATATACGTGGACCTAATCCTTTCCATAATCCTAAATAAAAAAAGGAAAAGAAAATTTTAATGATTTCAAAAGAAAAAAGAAACTCAATATCAAATTCAATTTACCACTAAATCCAACACGTCGTACAGTATCAAATAAACTAAGACCTTTTTCATTATTTAATTTTGATACAATCGTATCAGCTGGATGACTAACAATAGCACAAAATATTCCAGCTATATAACCAGCGATAAATGTTATACGAAGTTCTTCAGTTTCTGTACGTAATTCACGTGGTTTACGTAGTAGATACTTAAAAAGTGCTTCTTTAGTACGTTCAAAACATGCAAATTTCATCATAGTATATGGAATTTGACGAAACCATAATGGTACTAGACCTTTATATAAACTAAATAAAATGATATTATTTTTAATAAAAATCTAGATATAATATTGTACCCTTCGAGACCTTCTTCAGCTAAAAAAAAGATATATTCTTGGAAAGAAGAAGATAGAATTTTATTTTTCTACCGTAAAATTTCGGTAAGCCTTGTCTTAATGTTGATGCCCAATCATCTTGAGTTTGAATTCGTACTTTTATTGCTTCCCATGGTGCTAAAGCAACATCAGCAAAGAATTCAGCGGAAGCACTTGCTAATAAATAAACTACTGTTCGATAGTGATAAGCATTTCGTTCACCAAGTATTATACTATAAAAACTTTTTAATATTTCATAAAAACCAAATTTTCCAAAACCTTGTAATGAATAACCAATTAAAGTTGGTGCCCAACCTTTAGTTAAACTAAATAAACCTTCTTCTCTAAATAATTTTTATTCATGTAGATCATTTTCTATCTATATCATTGTACAACATACGCAATAGTTACTTGAAATGCCTGAATGAGATTTTCATATTTTAGAGCTTTTACTTGTAATCGACATTTAATTAGATCCTATAAAAAAATTGGAAAGATTATATTTTATAATTTTACATGAAAATAACATACCAGTGGAACGACGGCTGTATGTGTAATAGCACAACTTATCAAACCACTAATACCACAATAGAAATAAAATTTAACAGAACCAAATTCACAACTATAACGTTCTATACAAATTAAAGATATCATTCATATAATCAATTAATTGTTTTTACAGACCGTTGCTTCTTGAAGAATATGAAGATCGTAATCGGATTATTATTATTCTCTATAATAGAGTAATAGGAATTATGGAAAATATTTATTTTATGTACATGAATAGAATTTTACCAAATATTTGTAAGGAATAATTATCATAAAATGTATAAGTATAATAATGGAAAGAAAAAGTTTATTTTTTAGAAATTTTCGTGATTTTGTCGGTAGCCAACTGAACTTTGGCATGTGTAAATCTATGTATGGGAGATGCATTTGATGTTGAAAATAAATTCTATGAATAAAAATGAAACTTGAGTCAGTACGTTGTAAAGATGAAGTATTTGTTATCAAATAAGATATTCTTACTGTTCGTTACTGTTTGAAATATTGCGTCTAGTTAACATGTGAAATAATATTTTGTCATAAAAAAAACTTTTTTCTGTAATTATATATATATTTTATTCAACAGAGGAATGTATATGTTTTTTTTCTCTTCCTGCTAATGTATACGCAAGGTCAGATTTTGTTTGTTCTGTTTTTCGTTTCTTTTCATACGATTATTTTCTTGTCTCTCATTTTTTTCACATAAAAAATATTATAATTTTGATCACAATTGAACGTACGAATAGTTTATATTATTGTTCATTCAAAATAAATCCACTCATTCTACATCATTAAATAGAATAATAAATATTTCTTGTCATGACAATCCTTTAACAAACTAAAAGAACTACATGTTTGCGGTACAAAAGAGGGTGGTAACTGTTACTTTTTAATGTATTTTTAATAATATGGTTTATCATATAGAATATATATATATATATTTCGATCAAAATAATATAAATAAAATTTATTAAACACGACTTACTATTCTTTGTAGACAAATATAATAAAACTATATTTAAAATTGCTTGTAAACTCACATTAAGTATGACTCATTTCATAATAATCTTTTGTTCTCTTCCTCAGCAATATGTCACCAACTTTATACTAGCATACACAAGTAACAGATAGTTACGTTTATTTTAAAGATTATATTTAGAAATGATGATATCAATGAGCTTTATCATATATTTCACTTAATATTAGAATATTTGTGATTTTATACTATCTCATATTTTACTTGATTTATATATATTCAAATGAACTTCAGGAGATATAGTAAACTATCCATATGTCGTAAGGACTTGGATTCAGCATTATTCTTACGATAATCAATACATCAATTCGAAGAGTAATCATTAAAAATGATTTTTTTGCTTTCTTTTTCGAAACTGTAAATCTTTATTTATATAAAATGTATGCAGACATTATACTATTTGTTTGGATGAATTTCGTGAAGATAATTAAAACTAGAGAATATTCTTGCTATTCATTTCTTTTGAGCTGAATGATTTGGTGTACGTGTGAAATTGTTTTACATTTTAGCAAGGTTTTGTATAAACAGAAACACATAATATTTTATAGATTTATTTTAGCATGATTGAAAACTATGGTTTTTATATAGAAATCTTTCGAAAAGAATTAAAGAAGCCAATAAATAAATACAGTACCGAAAAACGAAATATGATTAGTTGTAGTTTTCATTGGTATATTCATGACAAATTATTTTATTTAGTTTGAATAAATTCTGAAATTGGAATTTTTATTAAAAAAATTAAATATATTTAAATTTTAAATGAAAAAAAATTTGACGAATAGATGGCGCTTTATAATGAGTCAGAAAAAATGGGCGTGTATATGTGTTCTTTTTTATGTAATCGAATAGCAGCTGCCTAAATAGCCAATTTAATGTTCATCCTATGTTTATTAACAGCTTTCATATGGGGTATAACAAATTGGTATTTGAAAGAAGGTTCAACAGGTTTACAAAAAATTCACTACGATAATCGAATCAAACAATTTGGTGCAGAAATTTGGTATTTCTTTACTAATGCAAAAGTAATAGAAAATATTTATTACAATTAAAATTACTATTGTTTGTTTTGTTTATATAGTATTGGGTTCCATTTTTATTGAATCAATGTGGTTCTGTACTTTATTATTATAGTCTTTCAAAAACTGGTATTATTTCTTATTTTGAAAATTTAACTTTTTCGAAATTATTTTTTTCATTAGATATCTCAACAGCTGTACCTGTAACAAATGCTTTAACACTTGTAGTCACTTATGTATGTGATGTTATTTCTCATCCACAATTATTAAATTCCAGTAAAATATCCGTCTTATTTTCCTTAAAAATCACATTCAAATTAATTCTATTTCAGGATTTGTACTTGGTATGCTATGTGTTTCAAGTGGAGTGGCTCTTTGTGTTCTTTCCAAAGACCATTAGATATTTCTGCTTATATGTGATCTATATATGTTTTTTACAATAACCTTTTGCTTATATTTCAAAATTTGTACTATTATTTAAAGCACAACAATTGCTTTTTTTCTAGATCACAATGTTCAATAATATTAGTAACCGAACATTTTCTATCATTCGTCATTGTTTAAGACCATCATTATCTATTCAAATACAAAATGCATCAACAAGTAACAATTCAGATATTTTTGTTTTTGATAATATTTTTTTATTATTATTATAGAAGTTCGATTTAATTATGAAGATGCATTTGATCTCGAATCTCAACTCACTGATGATGAACGAGCTGTACGTGATCAATTTCGTGATTATTGTCAAAAGAAATTAATGCCAAGAATTATCGAAGCAAACAGAAAAGAGAGTAAGTTTTTATTTTTAATCTTAGATTTGTTTTTATGGAATTATTTACTGTAGTTTTTCATCCGGAAATAATGCGTGAATTAGGTGAACTTGGTGTTCTTGGACCCACTATTCACGGTTTTTATTTTATCTTTCTTTCTTTTCTTATAATTAATTAAAAATTTAAAAATATAGGTTATGGTTGTGCTGGTATTTCTTATGTTGGTTATGGTTTATTAGCTAGAGAAATTGAACGGTAGAAAAACATAGTTTTTACATATAAAATATTGTTTGTTTTCCTATTAATAGTGTCGATAGTGGTTATCGTTCTGCATTTAGTGTTCAATCATCACTAGTTATGTTTCCAATTAATGAGTATGGAACTGAAGAACAAAAAGATAAATATTTACCAAAACTAGCTACCGGTGAATTAATTGGCTGTTTTGGTTTAACTGAACCAAATCATGGTTCTGATCCCGGTTCTATGCAAACAACAGCACGATGGGATGAAAAACAACAAGTTTATATACTGAATGGCACTAAATCATGGTTGATTTTTAAAAAAAATTTATATATCAATAAATTTAATGATTAAATATTTTTAAGGATTACTAATTCTCCTATAGCTGATGTTGCTGTTGTTTGGGCAAAATGTGATGATAAACAAATTCGTGGATTCATATTAGAAAGATCCATGAAAGGTTTTTCAACACCAAAAATCGAAGGAAAATTTTCATTACGTGCTTCAATTACTGGACAAATTGCTATGGATGATGTTCATGTACCAAAAGCAAATTTATTACCAAAAGTTCAGGGTTTAAAAGTATGAATTCAACTAAATTCAAATTCATATTAACAATTAGTTGTCTATTTCTTAGGGTCCATTCGGTTGTTTGAATAATGCTCGATATGGTATTGGATGGGGAGCATTAGGTGCTGCTGAATTTTGTCTTCATGCTGCTCGCCAATATACTGTTGAACGGTAAGAATAATCCATTGTATGGTTCTGTTTAATTTGTTTTTTATCAAATAGAAAACAATTTGGTCGACCATTAGCACAAACTCAATTAATTCAAAAGAAATTTGCTGATGCATTAACTGAAATTACACTTGGTCTTCAAGCATGTCTCCGTGTTGGTCGATTGAAAGATGAGAATCGGTATGATTTAAATGAAATGACAAATGTTAGAGACAACTAAGATACCATAATATTTATTTATTTAGGGCAGCACCTGAAATGATATCATTAATTAAACGAAATTCATGTGGTAAATCACTTGACATAGCACGTCAATGTCGTGATATTCTTGGTGGTAATGGAATCTCAGATGAATATCATATTATTCGACATGTCTTAAATTTGGAAGCTGTCAATACATATGAAGGAACACATGATATTCATGCATTGATACTTGGACGAGCTATAACCGGTTTACAAACTTTTAGTTAATCAACAGCACAATCAGTCATGTGATCGAGAACCTGCTTGTGAGAAAGAAACTGGATGATCAGTAGTTTTCGAGCATTGTTTTTCACCTTTTTTTTCTTTTTATGAAGTAAATATTTTATTTTTTCGATGCATTAATCGATCTATTTCAAATGAATTCAAGTATCAGATGAGACCTAATGATGTATAAAATAGATGACAAGCTGTTGTCCATAAGTTCTTTGTATACTAAAAAAGAAACATAACATTGTTATATTGGAAGTAACAAAACTAGTTGCATCAAATCAGGTAATACTATTTTCATGAGCTATGATAAGTATATTCTAATTACTAAATTAACACACAAATATCAGTTATTTTTTATTTTGACAATCTCTTTATTTATTGAATTTTTCATGTATATCTATGTAGTGTCTTTGATCAGTACTCTAACTTGATGACTTCAACAGTTGAATCACCTTTGCATTGGAATTATTGGGCAACTATAATTTATATTTTTGGAATGTTTGGATATCTAACCATCGATACGATTAATTATTTATTTGCACCAGTTGATGATGATTTCATTCTTTTTGTTCATACTTGTCTTACTATTCTATTTGTAATTGATGCCATATTATATACAATTGATTGGTATATGACTGCTGTTAGATTACGTGAGAATAAAGATGAACCAGTACACTATCGATCCGAATTAATTGCATGTATTTTTCAAAATCTTGGTAGTTATCTTTATTTACTTAGTGCATTATTACTCTTTGATAAATCTGCGTACATCGAATTAGTTTTATTATTTCAATTTTTTGGTACTACAGCTTTCGTCATTGAATCATGTTTTGTATTTCTTGGATGGCGTATTTCATTTCGAAGAAAACCTTCCACTAATCCAAAACGTGGTTGTGTTTCTCAAGTAAAACTAAAATAAAGATAACATAAAAAAAACTTGTTTTTTTCCATACATATTTAGGATGTTTCTATGTGGGCACATATATTTTATATCATTGCTAGTTTACTTTATCTATGTGCAACATCTTTAGCCTATCGTATTTATTCACATTTAAATATTATTCATCCAAGTGGTGTACTTATCTTATTAATGTTAGGTGATTTTTTCTATTTATTTGATGCCTATCTTTACTATGAATGTTGGAAACGAGATAAACAAGAATACGATGCAAATACAGAACAACAAAATCTAATGCAACTCAACGTAGTTAAACAATTAACAACAGAAAATTACTCATATAATCATTCAATTGATGAGGATAGTTAAAATAAACTTCAATACTTTCATTCTTCCCTTTGTTTGTAAAACCATCTAATACGAACTTGTTATTTCTTAATATACAACCATATATGACATTTTTTTTCGAAAATTAATATACATACAATTTTGCGATAAGCTAATGTGAATGAAAAAATATATAATTATTAACACTTCATACATACTACAAGGTTATGCTATATGATAAGTTGATAAAAAATAAGACTGTGACAGAAAAAAAAATAAAAAGGTTACGACACTCGGTATTCCCAGGCGGTCACCCATCCAAGTACTAACCGAGCCCGACGTTGCTTAACTTCAGTGATCGGACGAGAACTGGTGTATTCAACGTGGTATGGCCGTAACCG